CGGCAAAGTCAAAGAGCAGGTGACTACTTGCTGACACCCAGTGGATTGATCGGGATAAAGAAGCATGGTCAAGTGAAAATCGTTGTACCTGCGTCCTTGCATCAGAGCATATTGAGAGAATACCACGATAGTCCTACTGCTGGACACGTGGGTATATGCAAGACGTTGGAACAAGTGGACAGGCAATTCCATTGGCATGGACTCAGAGGAGATGTTACTTCATACGTCAGGAGTTGTCCGACCTGTCAGCAGATGAAGTCGGATAACAGGGTCAAAGCTGGTCTTCTGCAGCCCTTGGAAATTCCCTCAAGGAAATGGGCTCAGGTGACAACCGATTTGGTCACTGACTTACCAGAATCGGACGGCTATACTGCTATAGCAGTATTTGTGGACCGTTACACCAAAATGGTTCACTTTGCCCCATGCATGAAAGAAGTAACAGCCATGGAATATGCCCGGTTGTTTGTTGACCATGTCTTCCGTCTACACGGTCTACCGGAGGTTATCATATCTGACCGAGATCCGAGATTTACCAGTAAATTCTGGAAAGGTCCGTTTGACCTGCTGGGCACTGATCTCCGGTTCAGTACAGCGTTCCATCCTCAGACGGATGGCCAGAGTGAGAGGGCCATACAAACGCTGGAAAACTTCCTACGACCGTATGTTGAACGAGATCCGCAACACTGGGTGAAGCAATTGCCATTAGCGGAATTCGCCGCAAACAACGCTGAAAATGTGGCCACGGGTTATTCACCATTTTTCCTTAACTCAAGAGACCATCCAATTTTGCCTACATCGATATTACAAGGACATGGAACCTCCTGAGTAGAAGCTGTACAACAGATGGTGGAACGGATGAAGACTGCTCTGGAGGAAGCACAAGCCAACCTTGCCCACGCGCAATGCCGTGCTCAGTATCAGGCAAATAAGTCGCGTCGGGATGAGAGTTATGAGGTTGGTGATGAGGTATTACTGGCAACGCGGAATTTGAGTATCGACCAGCATCTTTCGTCAAAAATCAGACGACGCTGGGTCGGTCCCTTTCCGGTAGTCAGAGTGATTTCTTCAGTGGCTTACGAGTTGCGTCTTCCCCCAGGTTGGAAGATTCATCCAGTCTTCCATGTCTCCAACTTGCGGAGACATGTCCGTTCAGAGAGGTTCGCACGGGTGGAGAAGCCACCTCCCCCGATATTGGTTGACGGAGAGGAGGAGTATGAGGTGGAGGCGATTCTGAGGCATAAGGGCACAGGAGCCCGGCGCCTCTATCAGGTCCTCTGGAAAGGTCATCCAGTGACTGAGGCTTCCTGAGAGCCTGAATTGCATCTCCGTAATACTTCCTCCCTCCTAGAGGATTACCTGTGCCGGGTCGCTGCATCTGAGCCAAAGCGATCCCGGAAAACAAAAGGAAAACAGAACAAGTGATGGTGTCGCCGGGGAGTTCCGAGTGCCGGTCGTTGATGCGGTGGGATGGTTACAATTGGTGATGGGGTCTTACGTCTCGGGGGTAATCGCGTTCGGTGCGCCGAACCGGACTTGGATCTATAGGTTGCAACTGAGCCACCGTACCGGCCGTACATGAGCATATCGTTGATGCCGGGGGCCTTGTTTCTGTTTGGCCTTTGTATATCAGGGGTTTCGTCGGGTTTTTCTTTACTTCACTTGCTCCATGTCTCGGGACAGCCACTTCCTTATGGGGGGAAGTGATGTTGTGAATTCTGGTGGATCCAGTCTTACTGGAGATTTCACTTCATTGTGTTGTACTGTGATATTGGGGTGAGACCTGGGTTCACTAGATACACTAGGGGAGTAGTGTGTCTATAATTTGATTTGCTGCTGTTTGGAGTAAATGAACACCTGATTATATTTGTGGTTCACGCTTCCAATGTAACAATCTTCTGAGTTTCCCCGCTTGCTCTCCGCGTGCCCCTCGTGGGCAGGTCCTGGGGCGCACCCAATAGGGTGCGCAACACCCACTATTAGTATCCACCGCTCAATTTTGGGGTCCAATACATGCCTACTAATACCGGGTAAATATGGTATGTATTCAAGAACCTACATTGCAGCTTTGAGGGAGACAGTGAGGAAGCAAGGCATGAATGGGAAATTGTCACACAGAGTTTCACTGACAATCGATGCAACTTACCAAACATCGCCCAGAATGACATCATGTTGGGCTTTCGTGTTGCCAATAATGTCCACATTGCCAAGTAGGGGGAGTACTATGTGGTGGTCAAGCAGATGTTTTCTTGGCCTGGTGATGACATCGACGTGGAAGAGTTTGCCAAGTTTTACGCAAAGGCGTTCAGCCAGATAGTGCTGGACCTTAAGACTGTGGTGGAAGTGCATGGTGTCCACCACATGAGGCGCGGTAGTTGTGGAACTAGACGTGGCCACTCAGCTTTTTTTCTGTTATTTTACTTCTGTATTTTTTTAAAGACTAAAAATCCGTCCGTCACTTTTCCGTTGTTTCACCGGGGCCGGTTTTCTGTAGCCGTTCATGCCACGTCAGCTTCCAGTTTTTTGGCTCTGGAGCTGTCCGTCAAGGGGGTGTTTGCAGCCACCAATTTCTGTAAAGATGTTTTTTTTCCATTGCCTTTCCTGGCATTCCGTTGCCATCCGTCATGGACTTTGAGATTCTGGAAGCTTGTCGCGAATAGAGGCGTGGTCATGACGCCCAGGAAAGCTAGATGTGCCTTGACAAAGTGCCGCCCGACATGCCATTCAGCTATTTTCTATTCTTCAATTGACTCGATTGGCAAATTATTAATACTTAGCTCAGGCCCTTCCCGGCAGTGATCGCCGCCGGTACTTGGCTGTAGGCAGCACACACACAGGACACATCATCACAACATACTATAAATCGTAAGTGCGGGCCCTTCCCGGTAGCGATCGCCGCCAGTACTTGGCCGGAGGCAGCACACACACAGAACACATTATCACGGTGTACTATAAATCATAAGTGCGGGCCCTTCCCGGCAGCGATCGCCGCCGGTACTTGGCCAGAGGCAGCACACACACAGAACACATCATCACGGCATACTACAAATCATAAGTGCGGGCCCTTCCTGGCAGTGATTGCCACCGATTTTTGATGGAATTCTGTCGACCTTTGTGGTCTGGTCAGCGGTTCTGTTACGGGGGCCTATCACCCATAGACGGCGGCGCGGATTCTGTAACACATGGTTTCATTCTGTAAGGCTGTGTGGATTTCTGTAGTTGTCTATGCTGATGTCAGTATGGCCCTACTCGTTTCTGTAAAACACTTTTTTTCTCTGTGGCTCCCTCATAAATTCTGTTGATTGTACAGAATTTTAACGGAGCCAACCAAATTCTGTTGGGGACGGACAGATGGGGCCACCTCTATGTGGAATTGGCGGACAGTGAGCTGATGGACTGATACATGTCCCTGACTGCATGTTATGAAGAAAGCACGCTGCAGGCATAGCTCATGGTTGTGTGAAGAGCAACAATTTCTTGGTGTTTGGCCAAGATATGATGGACTGTACCGTCAAAGTATCTGAGTTGCAAGTAGCCATCGATGCTTAGGACCGTGGTCGTGGCAGTTTTGCCGGGCGGCACAATGGATGGCTAGGAGTTGTGTGGAGGACGTCCCCACAGCATGAAGTCTGATGTCTTCACCTTTGGGGCAGTGATGTGGGAGGTGGCCACACAAGAGCTGCCATATGGGGAGGAAACATCTGCCATGGATGCCCTGGGCGCCAAGCTTTCTATGGAAATGCCGTGTGTTGTTTCTGGCGCATTGGAGAAAGCGTGACCAGGAGAGGTACTACACCTGATGCATGCATACTGCTCTCCATGCCCTGAGGACAGACCATCAACGGAGGATGTGTGTACCTGCCTGGAGCAATGGAGAAAGCTAAAAGTATTCTTAGAACAACATTTGGTTCATGAAAATCGAGTGTAATTTTTCCTGTTGTGCGGCATTTCCTTGTGTCTTTTCTGCCAGCTTGCACCAATCATAGTTGTCCGTTCAATTCGCTGAATAAGGCTCGGGCGGCCGTGCGGCGCCTCTGTTCCTTCTCCAGGGCACTGGCGGGTTGGCCGTGTGCTGCAGGCTGTGTCCGTGATCGAGGACCCGCTGTCTTCAGCGACCTGGAGCGCCCAGTGCAGGATGTTCCCCAGGCGCGGTGTGATAGGCTCAGGCGACCAATTGGGGTCCCCAGCCCCTCTGGACGCTGCCAGGCATGGAGGAGACCTTGTGGCTGGCAGACCAGGAGCCTGAGCTCAGCACGGAGAGCTCAAAGGAGTCATGGTTGATGATGGCCCTGCATGGGCGGAAGTCCATGCCTGGGCCCCCCTCACCCATGGGGGAGCTAAATGACACAGAGAGGAGCAGCGCGAGCATGGTAATGTAGAAGGGGTCCACAGAGCTGGTGCCGGTGTCTCCGTCTTCGAAGGCAGAGGACCGCAAGCTGGGTCGCAGGCTTGTACGCGGACACCCAATGCTCGAGGCAGAGGTCGTGTATGCTGTGAACAACGAATACTGTGAGACAATCGTGGACTTTATTGCACGCCGTACTCGCCTCGCGTTCCTGGATGTTTTGGCAACGAAGCAGGCTCTCGGCAAGGTGGGTTTGCTATTCTTCCGTCTTGATGGCGCGATATCTAGGGGGGGATGGGGAGGCCCCTGCAGGCGAGGGTGCCAGCCCTATTGATATTACAGGGAGGGAACTTGGTGGTCCCGGAGCCGCCGCACGTAAGAAGGCCGGAGTTGTTGGGTCAGGGGCACACGCGTCCTCGCCAGCCAAATCTGAGCCAAAAGGGAAGCCTTCAAGGTGAACTCCAAAAAGGGATGGTCCAAAAGGGGATGGCGATCTTCTTGATGGTATGAACTTGAGCATTTCGTGGGATGAGCTGCGCTTCGACCGGCCCAGAGTGCCCCTGGGCGAGGGTCCCTTTGGGATGGTGTTCAGGGAAGAGTGTGGTGGCAGGCTATCGCTGTCAAGAAGTTCTCCCCAAGCTCTGGCCGGTTGGCCAACATGGACACGTTGGCAAACGAGCTGAGGATTGTGGAGGCAGCAGGGCTGCACAAGAACTTGGTCCACTGCTATGGCGGATGCCTGGAAGGGCCCAATGTCTTCATTGTGGAGGAGCTGATGAACAAGACCTTGCACAACTTGGTGTACTCCAACGAGTGGGGTCCTCTGCGAATGCCGTTGCGTCAGATTCTGAGGCTAGCGGTGGATTGCACTGCGGGCCTTTGCCAACTGCGCCCAAAGATTATGCACAGGAACCTCAGGCCGCAGGCTCGTTTTGTGGCTGGGATATTCCTTGGACTTCTTTCCATGCATGGGGTCATTCACACTCTGATCCACAGAATTGTGTCACGTACTGCTTTTTGTGATAGGGCAGCCCAGTTGTGCAAGTAATAATGGATTGTTGCGTGAAAAAGTGCGCCATGTTGCCAATACATGTTGATACACAGTGTTTTTCTGTGCCTTCTCCACTTGCATGCCCCATAGATTCAGTGCCTATGCCTGGCTGCAACTGTGAAAACCATTGCTCAGGCCTCTTGTAGAATTTTAGGTGATGCTGTCGACTATGTGCTGTTGACAGAACATATTGCTCACGAAAGATGGCCGAGTCAAAGTCGCTGACTTTGACTCGAGACCAGCTTGCTGGGACCGTCGCATACATTGTGCCTGAATGCATCAATGGCGGGAACATGACCCACAAGAGTGACATGTATTCCCTGGGAATCATTCTTTGGGAATACCTTACAGGGTTGATACCCTACAGAGATTATCAGGTGTTCGCTGTAATGCTTGGTGTGGCTAAAATTGGAGATAGGCCCAAATTTCCAGAGGATCTGCACTGTCCTGGAATGAGGCAGCTGACATGCGAGTGCTGGAGCCAAGATCAGCAGGCGAGGCCTTGTTGCGAACAAACTGATCAAACTTGCAGAACTTGAATTCGATTTGTTTGATGACATCAAGGGATAGGAGCTGCCACCATCCTAATTCTGGATCTTGCGATGACCGGCCTATCAAATGTCTTGTATGAGTTTGCCTTCGACAGAAGTCGTTGGTGTGCAGATCTGCAGTTTTACGGCTTGATTTGGAGACACAGCGAGTATCAGAAGGGTGTTAGAAATGGGGGGCCAAGGCGTTTTCTGTTTGGCCACTGTACCTGTGATTTATTAGATATGTAATCAGCAAGCTTTCAGATGTGAGGTTCTTTGCGCACAGGCACACTCCAGCTGCTCTGCAGCCTGGTTGTTGCTCTGTTCTTCAATTTAGGAAGATTCAGGAGCACGTTATTGATGGACTGCTGGTGCATCAGGTCGAGGTACCAAAATTCGATTTTGAAGAAAGGGCCACCGACGACATGGACCCGCCACAAGCAGTGCCCTGCAAGCAAGACAGGGTGACACCATTTGACTTACACCACAGAAAGCCAGTGGCGCCCAGCTTGTGCCCACCTGGGTACTTACACCGTCACACCGTACCTCACCTGACGGTTTTGTAACGACCCTGTGCTGCATCAGCCTCAGTACGTCACGGAAGGCTGAGCGAGGTTTGGGCACTACGGACGACTGCAATATTTTCCTCCTGTGGGCTTGTGAAGCGGTACTGTATACATTATCCATTGGGGCGAGCTGCGGTTCGATCGCCCCTCGATCAAAACCTTGGGCCTTGTTGGCTGGAATCTCTTATCCATCACCTGCACACCGGTGGCAACAATCAGGGGTTTTGTGTGGCAGTGCCACCCAGCCTCTGATGGTATCAATTGCATGGAGACTGCGTGCTGATCGATCTTCGGCCCTGCCGAACCATGCACTTCAGAGCCTATGGCCGACCGCTCCCATTTCGGGGTGGGCCTCTGACCCTGACCTTCAAAGGGCGCAAGGGACGCCTCTGACACCCCGGCCACCAGCCTCGTGTGCTGCTCCTTTGGCCCCTCCTGACGCCACCCTGCTCGGCGCCAATGCCAAGGACCAGACTCTTTTCAAGAGTTCGTTGATTGTTGGGCTTGCAGTTTGCAAGAACGAACCAACGCTGGAAATTATTTTCAGGGGAAGAAAGAAAGCCACGGGTGAATTGTCCCCCTGGTGACTTTTGGGTCGTACATTATCGCAGTACAGCGGCGGGGGGGGGATTCAGTCACAAATTCCCCGGGAAACAGTTCCCCCGGAACAGCTCCTTTTCCCGCCAAAACCACCCAACGCCCCGAAAGCCAATTTCTGGCACGGGGCCTTGCTCGCACCACTGCCAACCCGCACCGAGGGACCCCCCCACCCCTCCCACCCAACCCTGTCTGCTGGGGGAGAGACTTCGGGGCCCAGAAGTGTCCGACAGCGCAACCCGGATGCCATGCACGACCCAGGGCGCTCCAAGAGAGGTCCGCGAGCTGATGGCTGAAGCAACCACAGTTCCCCTCACGTGCGGTGAGCCCGCGCGACAATGCGCCCACACAGGCGCTGGGCTCGAACGCCGAAACGGTGTTGAATCGGCCCCGGGAGATGTACATGAGTCGATGGTTGGCGGAAAATGGTGGCACTCTCATGACGAGCCCTCGCGCGAACGCGCCGATCCAAGCTCTGAGTTCAGACGGCGAAACGGCGTTGAAGGGCAACATGTTGAAGCGAGACTGGCCGCCGAAACAAATTCCGCGCGCGCTGCTGTCCCGCCATCTTGACCCTGGCGCCTTACCATGCCGGTAATCGACGCCACGTACACGGACTGGTCTTTCGTGGGCGCTTTTGTGGCGATCAGCGTTTTCGCCTCGCGGCCTTTTCCCTGCTCTTCTGGTGTGCTCGAGTTTCTCGCCCTGATCCATTTTCGCGCCGGGTGGCTCTCGTCCCGCGAGTAAGTGCCCCATGTCATGGAGGACATTCCTGGTCAACGCCTGGCTAACGCCTGACCCAGGATTTTTCGGGCTCACCTCCAATTACCCCCATCTGCTGATCCTGCAGGATCCGCGTCGAAGTCCGAAAAGAGAGGCGCCCTGTTGTTATCCATGGCCCAACGTCTCACGGCCATCATGTCTCTGGCACAAAAGCGCCGCCTGTCCATGGCACTGTCACTTCATGGCCGTAACGCTTGTGACACAAGAGCCGAGCTGGATTCCAACAAGGTCGGCTGACGACACGGTACAGGGGAAGAAAAAGTCTATCCCACCCACCCACCCAACCAACCAACGCAAACCTCTGCCCACCCCACGCCCTCTACCACACTTGCTCAGGAGGGGCCGCCCTTTTGAATGACCTGTTTCTCTTTCTCTTTGCGACAAATCTTACCCACACCCCTTCACCGCAAGGTGCATACTTCCTGTGGATCCGTCCGTCGTTTCAGTCCTTTGACTTTTGGCATTCAATCCAACATCCAATTCAACAACCCCGTCGCGCGTATCTACAAGGCGATGCAGGGCAGCCATCCAACCCTGAATCGATATGTCCTCTTGGACGCCGGGGCCCGAACGCGGGGCGCTCAATCGCCATACAGTGCATGCCGATTGGAACACCCAATGATGCCGAAAAGGAACTTCAAAACGGAAAAGAGAGCCGGTACGGTGTGTCGCTCGCGCTTTTCGCCGTCGCGCGTGGCCATCGTGTGGGAGGCGGGCTCACTGCGGGGTCGGCGGGGCGGCATTGCGCCCAAACGGGGAGGGCTGCGTGTGGGAGGGAAATTTCGAAGTGCGAATCTGGCATTGAGGACACGTCAAGTCCCATTAAACAGACGACCACGAGCAACAGGGTCAAGTGGATGCGGTCGGGGGGGGGGCGGGGGCTAAAATTACTGGCTGCACCAAATCGGTGACTTTCTGCACTAAATTGGTGACTGCTTGCACCCACTCCCTCCAAAACTTACCTAACCTAAACCCTAAAGCTAAACTTGCCCTAAACCTAACCCTTACCCTAAAACTAAACCTAACCCTAAAACTGAGGTTAGGACATAGTGTGCACGTGATTTGGTGCAAGCAGTCACCGATTTGGTGCAAGCAGTCATGTTCTTTCGGGTGGGGACCAAATGGTTAGTCAACTTCTTCAACTTCTTCGTGTTTTTAGGCTTAGTTTTGGCTAGTGCTGTAAGTTTTGCCGGCATCGCAGTCTGTTGTTCAGTGGTTGCACCAAAAACCCCGAACCGGACGACTGAAACGACTACAGGTCAAGCAAAGGGCTGCAGCATTAATGCGCTGTCACGTTTGACGATCACTGACGTGCCGTTGGGCGAAGTTCTGCCTCCGCATAGGTTTGATTTGACCCCGAAGAAGGGCGGGTAGTCTTGAGACACGTGAGTATTCAGGAACTGGCAAAAATCGGCGGCATTTACAACTTGACAGTTCGCAATTAGTGCATGGAACGCCCTCAAGCAGGGTGGCCTCAAACGACGTCGTTGCAAGCGAAGCGACAGGAGGTTCGGCACAGCCAAGTCACGGTCAAGTCATCAGTCCGTCAGTCAGTTTCTCTCACACGCAATCTTACATATACAATCAAACCGTTGCACCTTAAAATCGCGTTCCTGGAACAGTACAACGAGGCGAGATCTGCACCACGAAAGTCTCCTCGGCACTCCAATTGGCTCTGACTCGACACAACATGTTGCCACCTGCAGGTCATAGACCGCACTGATTCACAGATTCATTGTCCCCTTGATTGCCCAACAGAGTCCATGATCACTGATCCGGCTCTGAGCCTATTGGGGAGTAAATGGAATAATGAACGCATCGAATCACTGGAATCCCTTTGGCCCACCGATGCCCAACTGGAGGCCATTAGGGCACATGATTCGCGACACACAATGCCATTGGGGGGTAACATGAATGGCAGCCCGCCAGAGCACTTTCGCAATCTCCGGCCAGGGAAGCCGCGCAAGGGCTCCCCGCGTCCTGGGGCCCACAAGGGCGGCCGGGCATCTGTCGGAGTGGTGGGGCGTCTGGCCACGGACCGTGCCTTGAGGTCCCCCCCAGCCACGACGCTTTGACCCAGATCGAAAGATCGACACAACCTTCGGACGGGATTGGAAACCTGGGCGGTTTCGTTGCAGAAGCGGATCGTAAAAGTTGCGAAGACTACGAAAAGCCTTCAAAGAAATTGGCGTGGTCATTGAGGTACCCAAAAAGTACATTTGCCTGAACGACCTGGTCACGTTGTCCCTGTTGGGGTTTGTGCACCTATGGCGCCGACGGCGTCAATGGTGCTGTGGCTGGAAGGCCGTTTTCCTTGCACACCCGAGCAGAAGTGAACGTTTTCGGTGGCCGCCGACGCAGCAGTCGTTCAATTCTGTAAGCGCAACCGCGGGATGTGCTGTGTTTGAGGTTTTTGCCTGTTCATCCTTGACTGTCCAGTGCTGGAAACGCCTCTGCGTGCTAAAGAAAGGAAATTGAGCGGGGAAGCTATGGAGCTTGTGCAGTACCTTGAGCTAGCAGCTGACTAAGGTGAGTCGAGAAATTTCCTACCATTGCTGCTCCCTGCTCCGCGTTCTGTGTTAATGCACTGCAAACAATGCAAGGACTTGGCTTAACATTGCTCAATAGGGGTTGCGAGGCTTGCCAGTTCAGCCCAGTTCTGTTGCCGATGTGGCTGTGTGGAGGAATGTCTTGTTTTGCATCTCTTCTGTGTATGCCATGGAGCATGGACTCTGCACCTGGCCCTGAATCGCACAAGGCATTCACCAGACCGATATTGTGCAGAGGGGAACACAGAGATTCTTTGGTGTTGATGCCATCTGTTGTGTCGCAGCAAACAAAAGCTGAAGCCAAGGAGCGGGTGATGAACCAGTGTGGACAACTTGCTGTGCAGCGTGCACAAAACTGCAGGGGGACAGGATGGGCACAGAGGCAGCTGCGGGCAGTGGAACGATGCAGGTCTGTCTCTGGATATGGGCCTGGCACACTTATGATCAGCTGTTTGATGTAACTTTTGTCATGCAGCAAAGCACTGTTCCAATTTGCTGCCTGCTACACCTTTTGCTCACCTACTGTGTTGTGCTCAGCCATGGAAGCATGCATCCCTGCAAGGAATGCACTGGATTCCCGTTTTCCACAGAGCTCTCTGGTTGTTTATATTTATGTACCCCAGTTCTTTCTCATGACTGGACTAGCAAAGCACACTTGCCATAATGAACATCTTGACATTGTTATGCACACGCACTCTGCACAAGGTATGTGGGATTTTGTTACTACTGCTGTTTAGATTAGAGTGAGTAATCCAAACACACAAAGGATCGTGTCCCTACCCCATACAGATCTTTCCGTTGCATGTTTGCTTCCTGTTCAAGCACCACTGGGTGCTCTGGGCAAACTTTGAGAGAAGGATGGAAAAGACTCGGCCCCCACCCCATCCAAACCCCGGTGCCCAAGGTTGTTCCTCTTTGCCATTTCTTTCCAACACGTTATTTGAATGTGGAGGATGCTTGCTCCCACTCAGAGGACCAGATTCCTTGCAAATGATAAATTGCAGATCCAGTGAGTTACCACAGAGATATACTGCATTTTGGTGCTTCATCCCTGGTGCGCTTTTGTCACACCCACTGGTTGCTTTGTTTTTTCCAGGACATCATGTACCAGAAGGAAATGAAAATGCCAACGACAAACGGTGTAGACAAGATCGCATGTATAACTGGTAGCGTGTTGTGCTACAAATCGCACTGCTCTCCAGAGGGGCACATTGGCAGTGGAATGTGACCCATGAGCATTGCCTATGTACAAGTGTTGAATGCAATACATGAAATGAATCACAAGCAGTTTTGCTGATGATCACTGTGTTTGGCAGACAGTGGACAGTTGCAAAAGCTTCCAATACAACCCCAAGATAATGGAATTCCTGAAGACACAACTTGACAGAGCAGAGGTACTCCAACCGCAGGGAGCACCTGTTTCTATGGTGAAGAAGTTTGTGTGGCACTTGAAGAAGGGTCGGAGACTTCTTGATAAGCACCTGGAACCATTTGATATCATAAAGTTCTACAGAATAGAAGAGGCATGCAACGGGGTGGAAGAGATCTGCACAGAGTTGAGGGACATTCTTTGGGAACTTGGTGCAGAGGGCACAGAGCAGCTGGAGGCGAAGGTGCCCATCCAAATTGTGCATGAGGATAAGTTGTTTTTGGATGGACTTCTTAAGTACATCCTGAAGGGCGAGCATGCTGCATGTGATGACAAAATATTGCGGCACTGGGATGTTGTGAAAGCACGCAATGAAGAAAGAATGGCTTTTTTGCCCGATGTTGAGGAGGAGTCACTGACTTTGGAAAAACCAATTGGGGCTGGGTCCTACGGCATTGTGCATGAAGCGAAATGGGGAAGTGCAGCAAATAAAGTGGCTGTGAAAGTACCAAAGAGGCCTGTGAGCATTGAGGAACTTGCATGCACTGTAAGGGAGGCTGTGCTGCAGGTGTCTTTGAGGGATGACCACATTGCTAAACTACATGGCTACACCAGCTCTGGCTGGCTTGTGATGGAGTTGGCACAGGATAATTTGAAAGATGTGTGTGCCCGTGGTCCTCCATTGACGTATAATGAGAGCTTTGCATTGCTGGAGCAAGCTGCGGAAGGAGTGAGCTGTGCCCATGGCCATGACCCTGCATTGGTCCACTCAGATGTGAAGACCACCAATTTCCTCGTCTTTGGTAACAGGTCTGATGGCTTGTGTGTGAAGCTGAGTGACTTTGGGCAAGCCTTCATGCTGACTGAGGACAGGAACAAGACCATTCGCAAGGGGGGTTATACACCAAACTACGTTGCTCCTGAGTTTTACAAAGGTCAGCCTGTTTGTCCTAAATCGGATACGTTCAGCTTTGGGGTTGTGTTGCATGAGGTTTTAAGCGGAAAGATGCCGTACAGCTCGTGCAAGGACAAATACAGTCTCCGTGATATGAAATTGGAGGGGAAACCACCCTGTGCCATGCCAGCCGACTGCCCTCGTGAGGTGCATCAGTTGCTTCAGTGCTGCTGTCTACAAGATCCACTGCAAAGGCCATGCATGGAGAAAGTCCAAAGATACCTACAAGAGGTAAAGGCATTTTCTGCCCAGTTCATGCAGCTCCCTGCATAGGATTCAAAACCAATTCTCCAGCAAGTTGCAAATTTCATGTTCTTGGCATCTTGCTGTGCATCACGTGTTGAGATGGCACACGGCAAATAGTGTGGTGACACTTGAGATAAACCCAGCTCACACTTTAAATGTGTTAGTTGACTCCACAGTGATCCTGTGTTGTGCAGCTGGCAGCGGGCCACATCCCACCCTTGGAAATTCTTCAGCCGCAAGTGGTAAGTGAACACAATGACTGTAACTAGTCTAGGATATGTGCTTTGCACCTAACATGATCTGCAAGACTGTGTGCTTGTCAACACATTCATTGCAAATTTGAGTCTCATCCAATCGCAGCTTGTAAATTGGGAATGAATTCTAAACAATGAGATGTTGCAAGCCAACATTGGCCAGGAATCATCATGAGCTTCTCCTTCTTTGTCCATGGCATCCATTCACTGCGATTGTGCCTCCAAATGCACCCTTCTGGCCCCGTGTATTGAAGCCATTGTGGCTGCTGAAAGAACCAGATGCAACCATTTCTTGCAAGGGTGTCATGGTGCCTGTGTGATTTGGTTTCTTATCCAAGTTCATATCTCTATTATGCAGGAGCATGGGGAACAAGGCCCTGTGCATCAAGATGTGAACTTTACATTCATGGGGCTGCTACTCACAGAGGTCGAGCCATTAAAGTTGATCAGCACAAGGTTGTCGTACTTGCTCAGGAAGATCACTGCTTGGGTGAAATCCAGCAATGACGCAGTTGTTGATGGCTCAGAACCATTCCCTGGAAGTGTCATTTTTCCATTTCGGGTGAGCCAATGTGTATTTTTATGTGTGGGATTGACTTGACTGAGCTTGTTGCTTGAATCTGGCATTTTGGCTGGTGTGTTGCTGCCAACATGCTCTGTTCTGCAACCGATTGAGACATGACAACATATGTACAATATTTCTGTCCTGAGCTTGTGGAATCTGCTGTCGTTTGTAAGGGCTTTGATTTGCCACAATAAATCAGTACAGTGCCGCATTGTAGCTCAGCACTGCTGAGCACAATTTGGGTTGCCCCTTTTTGTAGGAAGGCTGTATGTAGGAAGGCTGACTAGAATTTCTGAACTACATATCTCTCTGCACATGCGCTTCCTTGTATCACTGGTTTTCAAGCTTACAATATTAGGTAGACTCCTTTTGCATGGCCTCTCTGCATTGTGGCCACAGAAACAAGGAAGCGATCAACCTCCACAGCAATGCAGAACAAAAACTGCTTTGTAAGGAATGCACTGTGTAGAATGTGCTTCATGCTGTCACATCCATTCTTCTCTAAGTACTCAAGCATGAGCGGGAGGCTGTCTGGCAATCATATGGAATTAGAGTGAATTTGTAGTGCATTTCAGCTGCAAACTGGAGGGGACTTTTGGTACTGGTGGTGGGATGCTGGGGGCATCCACTTGCTGCAATCTCTGTTTCAAGGGGCATAAATGGCCTAACAAATTGGCAGAATGGCTCTTTGAGCGAATTCAGTGGGGTACCTGTGAGGGCAGAACAACAGGCAGCTGTTGCATGGGCTTGCAGTTTGTAAATTGGAATTCGACATACTAGACAGAGGCAGTCTGGCAATAAGTGGGACAGCCAGGCTTTGGCCACAGAAATTCTGAATAGTTGCAACTTGGAAGCCCGTTGATGTGAGGCCCAATGCTTTGAAACGAGCCCACTCGACCTGTCCCAGGTGTTTGAGGGACACAGAAGTTGGGGCTCAAGAAGCGCACAAAGTCCAGATGAAGTCCTGGTGTTGTACACTTACGATTTAGTAGCATCTTGAGGGCAAACATGACTTGTTACAGAAAGTGCTAACAGTGCAGCTGGCAACTGGTTTCAGGGACGAAATTGCAAGTTCTATTGTGTGCACCAGTGGACCAAAATACAACTGGAAATGATGTCAACTGTTCTGTGTCTGGGAGATTTTCGATGTTTTGACCTGTAAGCTCTTGCTTGTTCCAAGGCACTGGAGGTTGCTGTGGTGCATATTCGATTTTGTACTTTTATGAGATCAACTGCTGACGGCCTCTGCAATATTGTCGGAATACATATCAAATGGCAAGGTTGGCTGACTGGCATTCATTTCTGTGTGCTTGAGCAGATTGAGTTCCCCAGCAGGCATTGTGCAGCCCTGTTCAAAGCCGAAGTGCAGGTTGATGCAGGATTCATTTTCCAGGCGGATTGGGAACTCCTGAAGTACCAGCCCCAAGCACAAGTGACCATATCTGAAGACGTTAATGTCATCGATACTCAGGCATGGCTGTTCAGGCTTGAAGCCAGCTAAGATCTTCCTCTGACAGTTATGAATTTGCAGAATGTGATGTCAAATGCTTGTTCCAAGGAAACAGTTTTGCAGATGCTGTGCTGTCAAGCTTTGCATATGTACAAGCTGGGGCATCCTGAACCACACATCTGGAATCTTCCAGGGCGATGAACGCTCTGTATTTGCAGTGCTGTGTATTCCATGTTGATTGCCTGGCAGCCTATCCTGTTGCTGTTTTAAGAGTCCATGAGTTGTGCTGGATTAGTTGCACACATCAGATGTGAGCCATTGCCTTGCTACACTCCAGGCTGCAAATCTGGAGGCACAAGTGCAGTTCATCATCGCAGACATCGGGAGGGCAGAAGATGCAAAGTACAGCAGAAAGATGATCAGCTTTTTGCGGGGCCAGATAGCTGGCTTGAATGCCTGGACATTTCACCCCCCGAAGATGGCACGGGAGGAAGGATGGAAGAAAAGCCTGGCTGTCCTGCTGCACCACCTAAAACATGCCAAGCAACTAATCAGGCTGCACAGTTTTGTCGATGTGGACACTCTGTACAAGACTGCTGACACAGAGATGATAGTCAATCGGACACTTCGTGCGATTAACGATTTTTTGCTTGAGTGGGACATGGGCCCTGCAGCCAGCCTGCTTCTTTCCTTGCCCCAAGAGCATGCAAAGCAGGACAGGCAGGACTTGATTGAGCATTTGGGTTTTGTTTTCAAGGACCTGCCTTGCAACTTTGAGGGAGACAGTGAGGAAGCTAGGCAAGAATGGGAGATTGTGATGCAGGGTTTCGCTGAGAAGCGATGCGTGGTGCCAGTCATTGCCCAGAAAGATGTCATGCTGGGCCTTCCAGTTGCCAATGATGTACATATTGCCAAGTGGGGAGAGCGCTTTGTGGTAGTCAAGCAGATTCTTCCTTTGCCTGCGGACGACATCAACCTGGAAGAGTTTGCCAAGTTCTACACAAAGACATTTAGCCAGACAGCTCTGGATCTTAAGAGCGTGGTGGAGGTGTATGGTGTCACCACAGGAGGTGCTGTAGTTGTGGAAAAGGCCGACAGTGATTTGATGCACTGGTACATGTCATTAGCTGCATGTTATGAAAAAGACACCATATACCAAAAACTCAGCGTCTTGGCTCAGGCTGCAGATGCCCTGAAGTCTGTACATGCTGCGGGCATTGTTCACGGTTGCGTAAAGAGCAGCAATTTCTTGGTCTTTGGCCAAGATATGATGGACTGTACTGTCAAAATATCCGAGTTGCCAATAGCCATCGATCCCTGGGACCGTGGTCGTGGTACTTTTTCGCGGGCAGCACGATGGATGGCTAAGGAAGTGTGTGAAGGACGTCCGTACAGCATGAAGTCCGACGTCTTTGCCTTTGGAGCAGTGATGTGGGAGGTGGCCACACAAGAATTGCCGTATAGGGAGGGAGCATCCGCTGTAGATGCCCTTGGCGCCAAGCTTGCGGGGGAAGTGCCATGCGTTGCTTCTGGTGAATTGGAAGAACTGTGGCCAGAAGAGGTGCTGAAGTTGATGCATGCCTGCTGCTCGCCACGCCCTGAGGACAGGCCATCAATGGAGGATGTGTGGACCTGCCTGAAGAAGTACAAAGAGGTGGCAGTATGCACAGACCAGCACACAATGCATTGAAATTGAGTGCCAGTGCACCTGTCACACTATGTGCTGTTTGTCAATTGCGAAAAAATCCCTGACCCTGGACAAGTACCAAACTATGTGTGTTAGCATTCCTGCAAACTGTGGAAATCCCAGTATCATTTTATGTGGAACTGCAAACAATGAAGAGGCGTTCCTGAAGAGAACTGTGGAACAAAAATGAACGTTCAAAGATCAGATGGCAAGAGTTTGCTGTCATGCATATCAATAGCTCTGCTATGACCCGTTGGCACATGCATCCCACACAGGCCACGCTTGGTCAGGTGTGAGCACGTGCAGGAGATGTCTTTGCTGGGAGGCCGACAGTGTCCATCGCTTTACCGGCAACAGCACTACAATTGTTCCTGCCTGTGCTTGTGGCTAGCCACTCCTGTTCACTGCTTGTACTCTGAGACAAATGAAAGGGAGAGCATGGGTGTCACCATGGTCGCCCAGCTTCTCGTCCACAACTGGCGCAAAGATCGCTTGCTGATTTCTCTTTGTGGTGCTGATGGTTATGTGCTTCCATATGGCACTGGTGTTCGAGCACAACTGTACTGTCACGAACAGGGTTATCTTTGTAGTACCCCCTAAGGCTGCTGAGTAGCAGCGAAGCAAAGCAAAACCATAGGTTGATGCTCCTGCAGTGAAATGCAGAAAAATAGACGCATTTAAAGCAAGGCAGAGTATTGGAAATGTGCAAATCCACTTATGCTATGGCATCGCGATGTCTGTATAGTGCTTTTTAGCATATGGTGTGTGGGAGATAAGTGCATTGAAGAACAGTTTATTTTGTGAAAGGGGAACTGGCAGGATCTCACTATTGATACATGGTGTGCAGGGTTTTCATTTTGTAACAACATAGTTTGCAGTCTGCTATGTGTGCCCAGCCTGCACTGTCACCAACAGGAAATGTCGATTCAAGTTTGCATTGTCACAAACATAATGGATCCAGAAGCAGAAGCGATGCAATGGTTGCTGTTGTTATTGGCATACATTTTGCTGCCCAAAGGATTCTACAATGGAAGACACCCGACAAATGCTGGGAGGGCAGAACCTGTCAGAAGTTTTGATGCAGATGGAACCCTCAGAGGCAGAGGCAGAGGCTGAGAGTGCTAGTCCACAACTGCACCCAATCACCATGGCGGACCTGGACACAAGTCTGTACGATCCTGGCAAGGTCTTTGCGCAAGAGCGCCCACGCGCACTTTGGGTGAGTGCTTGGCCAAAGCAACATTCTGCAGAGCTGTAAACGCTATACTGCAAATGCTGCCTGGGGATAGGCAGAAAATCGGGCTGGCATCATGATGTATGTGGAGCAATTGCCCTTGCCTACACACCGGCATAGAGTGAGCGCTGTCGGGAGTTGTATCTGAGCTGCTGCTTGCAGACTGCCCTGCCAGTGTCTACAGAGTGCTTGGCTGCCCATGGAGTACAAACGGGGAAATGTATGCCAGCCTTACACTCGGGAACAGTAGCACATGTTCCTTTTGCCTGAGGCTGCTGTGCAGCCCTTATAGAATCCACCCCTGCTACACAGTGTAGAACTTGCACAGTGTGCATGTACAGGTGGGCAAGGGGGAGAGCATCATGTTGGAGGACAAGCTCAGGAAGGTGGACTTGCACGACATAGCGACGCACTCAGGTGAGTGTGGGGGGGGGGGGCCTGAGGAGGGATAAGGGTGATTGGCAAGGGAGGGTCCAGGCCGGGATTGGAGTCTGGAAATGTGGTGATGCGCCCTGCTCTTGTCGGGAATGTGGAGAATTGTGGGGGGGCTAAAAGAGCGCTGGTAGGGGAAATTGCAGGGAAATGGTGTATTGAGAGTGGGAAAGCATGTGGGAAGCTTGTTTCTTGTCTGAGGCTGCGGTGTCAAAGAGAGATGGAGAGCTTGCGCACGCTTTTTTGTTGGCCATAACAGTGTCAGGCAGCGAACCGATTGTTTCATTCTGTTGTGGCAATTTGCTGAGCATTTGGTACAAGTGGAGGGCCACCAGGACACTGCCTGTGCCATGGGGAGCAGCGGACAACGTGAGAAAACCATGTCTGGCTGGCAATGTGTTGGGACTCGTTGTCCCCAAGTCTGAGTGGCTTCTTGGTTGCTCGACAGACCGCATAAACCGCCTGTTGAAGGAACGAATGCGCAGGGTACAGAGTAGTGCATCATTTCATCAACTGGACTGCAGTGAAGACTTGCCGTTGCTCGCTGAGCATACCACTGAAAATGTCATAATAGTCGCAAATCGGCTGCCTGGCACTGCTTACAAGGATGAGAACGGGAAATGGAACTTGGAGGTGGGCTGGAAACCTCTGCTTTTTCTTTGTTTACATAAGATGTGTTGCATTGATTGACACACACAGACCTTCAGTATGCCAGTTGGCTGCTTTTCCCACATCGAGTGTAGGGGGTTTCTTACTGGAGTCACGGGGCATGCGCGCAGGTGTGCTGCCATTGTGCATGTCTGCTGTGGTAATATTATAGGAGCCTTTGTTGCCTGGACCTAAAAAGATGCTCAGACAACACTGGACTGTCTTCCTTGACCTTTTGTTGCCAGTTTTTGGGGCAATTTTCATTTGGCACTGTGCTGGTGCTGTGCTGTGGCAAGTTGCCTTCAAGAGTCATGACCAGTATGGAAGGAATGCCAGAAAGCTGAGGAGAGAAAGGAAGGGGTCCCGTTGAGAGGGCATTTTGTGTTTTCCAGGTGGCTAGCGGAGGCATTGTCAGCGGTTTCATGGGGGTGGGCAGCCTGACGACAAAATGGATTGGGTGGCCAGGCAAGTTAAACAAGGAACACAGCCAGATCCTTTGAGGGAGATGAACAGTTTTTAAATGAATTACCAGCGACGTCGTTTGAGACAACAGAAGACAAGGGTTTGTAGCCAACTCATGTGCACTGCTGGAAAGTATGCTCATTACACACCAAACTTGGTGGGAATTTCATTGAAAGAAGCATGCCTCGGAGAGGAGTTAGGCTGTGCGCTCGTCCTTATGCGATGCACTTCGTGGATTGGCTCATGCATGTATCTGCTGTGATGATGCCTTCCCCAGTGCCGTGGTCCTATCATGAGCCTTGCTGCGCGTTGCAGGTGTATGTGTTGAGACCGAAGAAGATAGGGAAGCACTGAAGGCAGTTTTGAGTGAATACAACATGATTGGAGTTTTTCTAGACGAAGAAATGGTAAGCAACACGCCCTCCAGATTCACCTCGCCAGCTTGGCGATGCACATCTTGTCAGGAGCTGACTGAAGCAGGATTTGAGCATGTGAGCGGGCCAGGTGTTCAGCAGAGGGTCTGATCGGTTCAATGCAGCTTGGTTTAGACTCTTTTGCTTGCTTGCCACAGATTTCCGACTATTACAACGGCTTCTGCAAAGCCGTACTGTGGCCCCTATTTCACTATGCTCCTCCAAGTCTTGACATGTGGCGCAACCTTGGAGGAACTACTGTTGCCCAGACCCAGTGGGCTGCCTACCAAAGGGCCAATGAGGCCTTTGCAGACTGTGTTTTGAAGAACTACGGTTCCAGGTGTGCTGCATTTTCCAAGTGCTGGAGGTTTTAAACTGGGCTGTGCGAGATGGGGTGTGCCATTCATGCACTATTCACCTTTTGATACTGCTGGTATGGAAATGGTGGATGTGATTCCCACTTAAGATGGTGATGTGCAACAGCATATGTGATTCTCTAGTTGCAGACATATGTATTGCTTGGAGCAACTTGTGGTCAAATGAATCTTTCTTTTTAACATGGTGTAGTTCGATCTCAATGGCTCTTGCAGACATTGATTTGGGGACTATATGTGACCAGTAATGAATGCTGTTCATGAATGGAATGTTTTCTGGAAGCCATATTTGTATCAATTCCACTATGGAGAACATTTCAGATTCTGGATGTTCTGTGGGTGGGTGGCAGGCTTGGTGGCCCCTGTGTCACACTTGATACTGTAACTTGAGCTTTCTCGATTTATGCAAATTTTGAACTGTGGTGTGACTGTTTTGGCTTGTACAGGGACACCGTGTGGCTCCATGACTATCATTTGATGCTCTGTCCAGCCATGCTGAAAAATAGGAAGCCAGAGATGAAGGTTGGATGGTTTCTACACACCCCTTTCCCTTCGTCAGAGATCTATAGGACCCTGCCCGTTCGAGAGGAAGTGTTAAGTGCAGTGATCAAAGCTGACCTTATCGGTTTCCAAACGTATGATTATCTTCGGCACTTTATATCTTCGTGCTCAAGAGTATTGGGACTTGAGGGGACACCGCATGGTGTTGAGGACCGTGGTCACCAGACAAGAGTCATCGCATGCCCTATTGGGATCAACGTTGAGAGGTTCACACAGGCGCTGGAGCAGAAAAGCATGAAGGCACATATAGAGGAGCTTCGTGCTCAGTATAAGGGGCGTAAGGTGGGATCGTTTGTGTTTGACTTGCGGGTTTAGATGCGGTGCCCTTGCACAGCACCATGTGTTTTGCAATACTCTATCCCACGCTCTTACGTTCTACTTTTGATGATGCCTAGAACTATGCAAGTATGGATGTACATTCAAGGCCTTTGGGCTCACCGATCTGTTTTTGAACGTGTGTTAGATGATAGCATCTGATGCAGGCAATGTTGGCTTTCTGTTGAAAACCATTTGTCATATCCTGCTGCTCTGTTGCAACTGTATTGTGCTTATGCCTGCAGGTCATGTTAGGTGTCGACCGGGTGGATATGATCAAGGGTATCCCCCAGAAGCTGCTTGCCTATGAGAAGTTCCTTGAGGAGCATGAAGAGTGGCGTGAGAAGGTGCTGCTTGTCCAGATTGCAGTCCCAACTCAGGGCAAGGTTTCAGAGTACCAAAAGTTGCGCTCAATGATTCACGAGATGGTGGGTCGGATCAACGGCAAGTTTGGGTCACTGACCCATGTGCCCATACACCATCTGGATCGCTCACTGTCCTTCCTCGAGCTCATCGCCCTGTATGCTGTCACGGATGTGGCCCTTGTGACTTCCCTCCGTGATGGGATGAACCTGGTGAGCTACGAGTATGTCGTCTGTCAGAAGAAGAGCGAGTCAGAGGGGTCTCCTGGTGTGCTGATCCTCAGCGAGTTTGCTGGTGCTGCACAGTCGTTGGGGGCTGGGTCCATTTTGGTCAACCCTTGGAACACAACTGATATGGTACAGGTGAGAGTGCATGGCAGCAGTATCACTGGAGCAAAGAAATGTGGAAGAGAATCTGCCATGTCACATATCTGGCCAATGTTAATATCATACAATTTGGAGCATTGATGTACAGGTACAGTCATTGATGCATGATGATAAATGTTTTGCATTTTGTATTGCAGCTTACCATATTATCTTCACTGACCACGATCTTTAAGAGACTGCATCGTGTTTGGTGGTTCATTGCAGTTGCAACATTTTGGTTGGCTGATTGTTGTTTCCTTTGTTTTTCATGCAAGTAGCTTGGCTGCTAAGATTCCAACTCTTATGCCATTTCGATTCACCCATAGTGCTGCTCTGACATGACTTCCTTGCTGAACGATCTGGACAGTTTTGACTTGCTACGATTGCAGCACACCCAACCAGTGTCTTGCTGTGCTTGTAGTCAATTCAAGAGGCATTGACTATGAGCGACGATGAGAGAAAAGAGCGACACCATGTGAATTATGTACATGTGACAAAGCACACAGCCCAGAACTGGGCAGATATGTTCATAACAGAACTCAATGATGCATATATCGAGGCTGATTTCCGAGACAGGCAAGCTCCACCACAGGTCAGTCCAACAAGGCTCAGTAAAGGTAGAGGGCTTTCTCCTTGGCACACACATAGAAACATTGCCCCCCCCCCTTGTTGGCGCATTTGTCAGAATCACGACTTCTCCAACATCCCCTCCCACTGAGTGTTCTTCTCACCTCTGAGCATGCCTGCCATCTACACCATGGTGGCTTCAGCACGTTCTCTGCATTGTTCTGAGACTGCTGCACATCTGTGAACACATGTGTATCCATGATAGCCTCCGATTACGAGGGTGTTTGGCGGTTACCCTGTCTGCCAATGCCATGTACTTGTCAGTCTGCCTGGGCAGCAGCTTGTACACGACAGGGATGTCGCACACTTCTGGGGTTGTGTTCATATGGATGAAGCCCCCCAGCAGGCATGACTGGTACAAAGCACAAAAGGTAACCCAAGCAATGAGTTTCACAGCACACTGTTTGCATGGGAACCTGGATTAGAAACAGTGTTTAAGTAGGAAAAACCTTTGGGCACCTAACTTGCACGCGAGTGCCTGTGCCAGCATTAATAGCAAAGGAATTGTGTCACAGAAACGAAAGCAGCAAGAGATGTTTTGTAACAGATTTAGGGTTTTGATTGGAAGCGAGTGTGCTGCATGCACAATGTGCATCTCTTGCCTCTGTATGTAAGGTCACTGTCTTTGCATCCTTTCCCTTTCAAGAAACAGGGCTGAGAGGGATCTATATGAGCACAGCAGTTGCCTCCCAGTCTTGTTGAATCGATTTTGTGCTGAAGTTGCATAAGGTTCTTCGCAACGATGTCCAAGCTTTGACATTCCCACGTGCCTAGTTTCAGTTCGATTTGCTCTGCAATGTTGCTCACTGCTCTTGCATGAGCATCAGCAATTGATGGCGAGCCATGCCATGCAGATGATAGGCACAAAGCAAGTCAATGTCTTGCCATTTCTAGCACTCCTCTGATGCACCCTCATATTGAGACTTAGTGTCCTGGAGATCTGGCCATCGCACTTGCAAGATTGCATTTTCATAAGGATCCATCCCAGTGGAGGTACTCACAATGTGCTTTCTGGCATCCAGAAAGGTCTTGCTGCCAATAATCAAAAGCTCCTTGGTAGCTAGTGATCATTAAGCCCAAAGCCAAACTACCAAGGAGCTGCAGCCCTATCACACTTACTGCTGCATGGAGCCAGAATCTTCTTTCCAACAAGCTGCCACTGGCATTTGAAGGGGGCTCTCCTGGACACCAACCACAAACATAGCTTATCATCTGTGTGTGCCAATCAGCTGCGAACATCCTCAGTTGTCAGTGCCTTCAATGATAGCCGTCGCCGACTGTTTGTCTTTGGCTATGATGCCACCCTGACCACTGCTGTTGAGGCGCCCAAGCAACCCAGGAAGCACTATGACCAGATGAAGGCCCCGGCACAGGTTAACCACAGCACCATCAGGTGCATCGGGGAACTTTGCAAACGCCCAGGGAATGTGGTCATCATTTTCAGCAGCAGCGAGTGTTGCAAGCTGCAGGAGCAGTTTGGGCAGCTACCAGTTTGGCTTGTTGCAGAGAATGGAGTGTACATGAGGCCACCAAGCACGGCATATGGTGGCACAATGGTGAGGATTGCATCTTGACCTTCAATTTTGCTTGTGTTTGTTATGCCGGTTGCCCTGTACTCTGGTTCAAGTAAACTGGTGAGGTCTCAATTACTAGGTAGGACATTGGCTTTCCAAGACAGCAATCGAAAGGAAAGGACACAACGGCCACTGAAATTGATGGTTTGCAGGTTACCCAGTGGCAGCAGGTATTGTTGCATGTGTAAAGCCATGAGCACAATGGCATCGAGCCAAAACATGAAGAAAAAAGGAATGTGAGAGAAGGGGAGGTGCCACAGGATAGCATACACTTCCTGGAAGTAGCTTTTAGCTCTTGCTGTTGTTCCCCATACTGTAAATGGTGAGATGGAAATTTCAAGTGCACCAGGAACAAGTCCAACTGCGGGTACCTTGAAACAACATAAGCATGTTCTCAGAGGATGACAAGGAAACAAATTTATCTGTGTGACTGTGCTCCAGCCCAATTGCAGGGTACACTTGTTGTACTTGCCATTGCCTTGTCAGGATGCCCTTTTTGTTGTTCAAATTTTTGGCATCCAGTTGCTTAGCAGAAGCGCTTTACAATATTGGTTGCTGGGTTAGTACATGTTTGGTTGTCGTACTTGGCAGCCAACTGCTATCAGTGGCTTTCGATGCAGCTCAATAGAACAACCAAACAATACAATGCGATTTTGCAAGTGTTGTTGATCTACCAGGGCCCACTTGGAATACCAGATTTCTTCGTTGAGGTTAAGCGTTCATTCAGATGTGAATGCCACCGGTGCTTTACATTTGCTTGCGTTTTCTTGATATTTGATGCAAGCCCTCCATCTCTTTGTTAGGCTTGGGGTGGCACTTGGATACTGAAATGGGATGTTATATTCTGGAATAGACAAGAAATTATCAGTTGGCACCAGAGACTGGGCATGATCACATACTGCAGTGTGTGTTTCTCATTGTCCTCCTCTTATATTTCACTACTCTATGGTTTGTTTAGATTTGGATCCCAAAGAGGATTGGACACAATGGCTTGTGGGGAGATGCAGTGCAACATCTATCACCTAGTGGCCAGCTGCTGAAGCTGAATGTTGCGTCGACTCTTGACAATCACAGTCAAGGAGGCGTCCTGTCCACTACTGCGATTTACTGCTGTGTGATCACTGCAGGAATGGGTCCCCATTTTTGAGGGGCTTCCTCGCGACTGGATGGACAGTGTCCATATGGTCTTTGAGTACTTTTGTGAGCGAACGCCCCGTTCATTTGTGGAGAAGCGTGAGACATCACTGGTGTGGAATTTCAAGTATGCAGACGTTGAGTTTGCCAGGTTGCAGGCCATGGACCTGCTGCAGCACTTGAGGGCTGGTCCGCACTCAAACGCCCCTGTGGATATAGTGCCAGGAGCCCGATCTGTGGAGGTCCGGCCTGTTGGTATCACGAAGGGGCTAGCGATGCGGCACATAGTTGGAGAGATGGAGAGGTTGCTAGGTCGTGAAGCCTGTGACTTTGATTTTGTGCTGTGCATTGGTGAGTCAGATTCTGGGGTGCACCGTGCGAACTGTCACTTTGTCGATTGTCCCTTCATATGACATGCACGCACACACGGCAGCTACATTGAACAATTTGATATATTATCTACTTGTGCATCTGCCATTTCCCGATGCACAGGCCATTTCTGGAGCTGCAGTACTGCAAGCACCAGTCTTGGCTGGCCATGGTTGTTGCCCTGTGTCAGGGGCCCGACCCTTGTCAGACTTCCAGCTTGCTGTGGTGCACTTCAAGTTTACTGAGGGAAGATAGTTCCATATGCTGGGTGCCGCTTCCTTCAACCCAATCATGATGGCAGCGTCAACATGAATCCCTTCTCTTCCTTGCTGCTGGCATGATCTAAGTGCTTGCGCTTACTGTTCTCCTCCAGGGCATTTTCTTAGCAAGGATGAAAACATCTTCTCCTTTTTTGAAGGTAAGAACACCGTGAATGAAGCACGCATGGAGAAGACGCTGCACTTCACACAGACATATGCAGCTGACGAAAATTGGAGGGACAATGGGCCATCCTCTGCCAAGGTGAATGCTGCAGTGATGGGCAGCCCTGGGGTCAGCTGGCCCACTGGTGATGGCCCAATGTGGACACAGAGCTCACAGGAACCGATCATGTTGAGTCCAAAGCATCTGTTTACCTGCACAGTTGGACGTGCTGGTTCAATAGCAAGGTGAGCAACTGCAAAGTAAACGATGAGCAGCAGTGGCCACTGACTTGCTGTTGCCTGTGTCAGTTGACGCCAGTTGGAGAGTGGGGTGGGGTGGGGTGGGGTGGGCAGCGGCATGTGTACAACAAGGCTGAAAGGATCCTGATTAGGATTGCAGCAAGGTTATTCAGGATTGCCGCAATGCCAGCAAGCTCAGGTTGTTAACCCGCTGTGCCTCACTGATGTGATGAGTGGTGGGCTAGCAGGAGACATTGTGCATTCCCATCGATGATGCGTTCTCACACAATGGCAGCATTATCCATCCGCCTTCAGGTGGGCAGATTGTGCAAATTTTTGGAATGTCATACATAATATAAAGACTGTGAGGAACTGCCCACCACACCCAGCACATGGCCACACCAGTGATTGTTCTGGCTGATGGGAGTTTCTTTGGACCATGATATTCTCTGGTGTTGTCGAGCCCTGGGTGCACCGTGCAGGTCTTTGGAACCACCAGATTACACAGTACATTCCAAACATTCCTCAATTCTCATCCCCCCCCCCCCCCCCCACACACACAAATAATCCTTGCTATCTGCCGTTTGTGTAGCTGGCCTTGTGTGATCATCATACAATGGGAGATTCTACATCATCCTTTCACAGCATGGAAAGAGTCTCACACACTCTTTGCTTTGGAGGGGGTGCCGATTGTATGACATGATTTTCTCTTGAAGTTAACAGACCTTACCTTACAGAGTGATGCAGTGTGAAGTCGCCTGAACACATGAAGCCTTGATGTCAAGGTTTCATGCCGTATTGTCTTTGTCTCATGGTGAGGAGAGGTGCATATTTGATGTCAATCCCAACGATTGACAGGATGCAATCCATTTAAATTGCTTGTATGTGTCAAAGAGAGAGGAAAATAATCTATGCAGATTTGGCCTAGCCATATAGACATTTGTTAGCCATCATTGATTCCTTTGCACCTCATCAATGAACCCCAGTCTGTGCTTACATTTTCTTTGGGTGGACCTGTGAGTATCCACGACCAACCAGCCAGCAATTCTCAGTAGCAGCCACAGTCACTTCCATGAGGTCCTGTTGGTGCATCTTAGCTTCGCAGTCGGCATTTTGGCCAGAAGGCAGTTAGCACAGCAATTTGCATGTTTGAACCTGTGTGGGTGATTTGGTGTTTGGCTGCTGCAAGGTATTCCCTTGGTGGCTCCAGTGAAGTCGCAGATTTGCTGGAGGCGATCACTAAGGTGGCAGCGTCCCAGTCTTTGTAAGACCGGCTTATGCCATTAGCCACGCTATCAGTGCAGCTCGTCCATCAATGTGAGCAGTGCTGCCATCATGGGTAATGCAGTTGTGGCAGTACAAGTTGGTGGTGGACGTCCATCCATCAATCAGGCTATTTCTCTATTACATTGATGATCGATTGTTCGAGACGACGGGCATTCTGGCTTCGATTACATTCAATATTGGTGCTGCTGATCTTCTGTGAAAGGCATTCAGGATGCCGCTTGCTGTGCAGAATGGCCAGAAGCTGAGTCCCTTGAATGTGTTTCATGAACGTCTGAGCTGTTAGAAATGCACGAGTTTTGGGACTGCACATAATCACAAGCCTGCTGCAGGCTGTCCGAGCGTGTTTGTATATGGGGATAGGAGGTGTTAAGGGGTAGGTAGGTCGGTTTCCTGAAGCTGGGGAGCTTTTGTGTTTGGCGCTCCGAGTTTTGTGTTTGGCTGCAACAATAAGGGGGACATGTCGCTTTTCGGTGACGACATATCGCCAGTGAGATAACGTTGTTGTTCGTTTGGCTGTGTTTCCATGGAGATTTCCCTCGAAAGTGCTCTGCTATGGCCGTGTCCAGATGGCTGAGGTCGCTTCTGGGAGCCATAGCCGGATTAGACAATTACCTCTGCAGACGATTCCGATGCAACAAACACAGCTTCCAGCAAATAACCAGGGGCGAAAGCCTACTTTGGAGGAATCGGGGCTCGAGACAACAGTTGCGGCTGCTTCTAGATACACAATTCATATTTCCAAGCAGTGCATTGTGCACCAATGCCACAACAGACAACTGCTCCACAACTTTGTGATAGCTTGCGAGGTTCGAAACTGGCTCTCAAATCCCTTCACGGCTCACCCAACAAATTGATACACAGGCAGCCCCAACGGGAAGACGCAAGCAGTGTGCCTTTCCCTACAAATACCCTTGTCATCTCTATTACTTCGTCAAGCCTAGCCCACAGTCCACTCTGCACAAGCATGAACCCACAAGCGGACAGCGCAACATGCACCTCCAAGATGACTTGAGCACAGAACTGAAGATTCTTTGAAGGAGCCAAAGGTCCTCTGTCTGGCTGTTTCCTAAACTGACAGGGGATGGTGCTCTCATGCCGTGATACCCATGTATACCGTAGACACACTCCGGTTGAACGGCATAGCTCTCGACTTTGGGGCCTTCGCATTCAATCCCCACCACCGGCTCACCCAACTTGCATGACACCTTAGCTAAGACTTTGGTAGTTGTAGTGCATGACAGCCTGCGCGATGGCCTTGGCTCGCTTGGCAAGATCACCGGATTTGAAGATACCCGACCCAACAAGCACGTCATCCATGCCAAACCGCATAATAAGAGCGGCGTCGGCAGGCGTGGCTATGTCTCCGGCTGCAAAGTTCACAACTGGCAGCTTAGGCAAGCGGCAGAAAGACAATGAGCAGAAACATTCATGCTTTCGGATGACTTCTGCCAACTCTTGGCTGACATCTGCGAGTTGATCAGTTGGCAGGATCAGGCTTGGGTTTTATGCCGTAAAACTTGAACGTATTTACGTTGTTACGCGTGAAAATAGTTTTTACGTTTTCACACGTAACATGCGTAAAATACGTAAATGCAACGTAAATACAGCCCGTGTCCATTAGAACAGTACAGATTTGGGGAGTCCAGAGAGTGGCAATCAGACGCGCTGGGATGGATAGAAAACAAGCTCTTGTTCCATGTCATCATTGCCCTTGCCGAGGGTGAGGTGGTCACTGTGTTGTGGGTGTTGAAGATTGCATTATGAGAGCATACTCCGGTGCGCACAAGACGCGTCTCCCTATGAGGGCGGCCGTTCAACAACCCAGTATGGGAAGATCACAGCACTGTCCCTTGATGTGCTACATGGGGCGTGCATCCCGGCAGGGGAGTGTGTTCCACCCCTTCCGCGAGCACCATCTGGTGGATGCCGAGGAGCCCAACCGGACGTTAGGGCCCGAGTCGGAAGGGGACGTGGGGGACGTGGTCGGGGTAGGAGTGTAGGGTGGCTTGCATTTGTGCTAAATTGCTATGTAATTTGAACACAGGCCAGATGGCCATTGGCAGGCACAAAAGCCGAAGGAAGAGTTTTGATAAGGGTTTGTAGACAGAGCAATGTCTGTAAAAACTACTCTTTCTCTTCAAAAGAGGATCACTTGTGAGTGACTCAGGCTGAGCATGTTCATGAGTATTGCTTGAACAGAAAGCTAAACATAGCAACGCAAACTTGAATAGCCCCATAGGTCGGTACAACCATCAAGGCTTGAAAAGTCATGTAAATGACTACTCCTGTGCGTATATTGGGCCGGGGACGTCCCACCTCCCTGAAGGGGACGAAATGTTACACATTTGCCTGGTGTGGGGGATTCTCCACCTAGGACCCTCTTGTTGGAACTAGTGTAGGGGGCGCCTTACCCAACTCTTTGATGATAACCCCCCTACCCTGATGTATTGTATAGGTAGCAGTTAGGGGTGGAACCGCTTGGTGGCCCGTAAACCACCAGGTTTCCGGCGAGGCGGGTCCGGAGATTAAAGAGCATAGGCGCCCCCAACCAACAGTTCCTATCACATTTGGTAGCGGCACTGTTGCAAAAACGAACAACTGCGCCACTGTCGCAAAAGGAACAGGTCGGGCGTTGTCGCAGAAATGAACAACGGTGTGGCAATAGCGAGCGAGACTGTCGCAAAAAAGAACATGTCGCAAACAAGAACAGTTTCACTGTCGCAAAAAGAATAGTAACCTAACTCGAACAATGCTCAAAGACCATCTGGGGAACAATTGCACCCGTCTCCAATTGTGCTTCGCACCAGCGCCAGCGCCAGGGCTCGTTTGTTCGGCGCGGGCCGCCGGAATAGGAAGTGACCCCGGCGCCAGTCGCCACCGCGGCCGCAGCCCATAACGCCGCGCCGTCGCTGCGGTAAGCGCCAAACTGATGAAGTTTCGCGAGGCGCCCCCGTTCTGTCGATCCCTACCACTTCGCTGGCTTTCCCGTGGCCCCGTTTACCAACCTCAGGAATTGGAAAGAATCCGGACGCAACATTAGCACTTTCTATTTGGGGTTGGCGCTATCCTGAGGCAATTGATGGATGATCCGTTCCTGCGACAGCATATCTCCACGTGCCAGCCGTGCGGGCCATTCGAACAGAAATGTTGCTGGTCTGTCTGTGCAGCGGCCGACATCGCCCAGCGGGCGAAAGGGCGGAGGCGTGTCATGTTTTGTCAAATTCAACCCATGGAGTTTCGCGTTGACTGTGGGCGTTGCTGTTTTGACAGGTCGTCAGCGCCTGGTGTGGGCCCAAGTATTGAGTGTGCAAAGTGCTTGAGGGAAGCCGGAGCATCCTGCACATCTCCAGGCTGTAACGCATGTGGGTTGGACGGTGTCCCAGCCATTGAGACCTGTTGGACTTGTGGTATCAGTCAGTTTTCCGAAACCAGTTATCTCGCGGGGCCACATGGCACCGATCGCCAGCCGAGCCATCACCTTTTAACATTTTCATTGCCTGTGCCTCCGATGTGCTCAAGGGAAGCAGTCGAATCAGATCGTCTGCTTCCCTGAGAATGTCCTGATTCGCCTCCTAGTTCATGCTGCTAGTTGGCCTCAATACAATAGAAACTGAAACCAGCGCACTTCATGAAATCTAGGAGTTCACTTGGCCTTGAGGCGCAGGCCCACACTGTGCCATCGCTCCCAAACAGGAATCGACCATCCATTGTTGCGCAAGTCCATGTTTGCCGATCCCCAGTTCACTGGCTTTGCACCAGAATACCATGGGCTGCTGTGGGCAGTGGCCGAGAAAACAAGCAGCCACAGTGCTGTTGGCGATAGCGGCCCTGCTTCATATATGTCAGAGAGGGGATGCTGTTGAGATTGCCACAGGTGTGCCTGTTCCCAGTGTGTTGCTCCCCCACCCACCCAATGTGAACCAAGAACCTGCCTTGGAGCCTGTTGAGCAAAAGTAAGGAATCACTGAGGGTGTCATTTGTGCTGCCTCGTCAACTACTGAATTTTAGAGCGATTTAGTTCTCTTTTTGATTGTAGTTCTGTTGCTGATGGCACACGGACAGCCAAATGTTGGGACACCCTGACCAATCTGCTTTGTGTCTGGAGGTCACTACTTGGCAGAATTGCAGGTGCATGTTACAGGCTTGTACAGCACATGAACCAAATGTGCTCCAGTCATAGGTGCTGAAAACTTGCCAGTGTTGTTTTGATACATTCTTTTTGCTGTTGTCATCTGCGTTATTAACATTGTCACTGGAATGCTTTGATGTTCTGACTCGGAGAATATGCATTTCCTGCTTTGCACACACCAGTGCTTTGCAATGCGAACTACAGCAGTCTATCAAAGAATGTAGCACTGTGCAGCTGTGATGACATATGATTTTGGGAGTAGCACAGAAGAAATCTGGCATTCCATTTGGCCCATGCTCTTTTGTTGGCAATCTAGTCATGCAACAACTTGAAAGGCACACATTATTAACGTTAACTACTACAACAGCACGGTACAACATTTGTGGAGCTGTGAGAATTATGGTGAACCAATACGCATGCCATTCACAGCATAGATTTTGGAGGTAGTCCTGGCAAGAACACACCTGTCAGTGTCACCAACAGCCACCAGAATAATTTGGGCAACTGTTGTCGGCTGCAGTATGTGTGGCTGTAGGTTGTATTTGGTGCTGCAATCAGTGTCAATCAGTGTCAATTGCTGAATGTGGCTGTCACCAATTAAATGTGTTTGAGACTTGTCGCAGGTGAAGATGGGGGCAGTTGTGAAATGCCAGAGGAAGGAACAGCACACAACGATGTAAGAATGTTTGCATGCACACTTGGTTGACTTCATCTTGTAGTAAATCATAGATCTAATGTAGGATAGTGCAGGGGTGTCGCACAGCACAGCGGCCCTTTGATAATGCCCCCCATGATATTGAATATGGCCACAACTACATAGCGCAGGAGGCATGTTAGATAGTGCGGGGGCATGCATCTCCCATGAATGAACATTCTCGTTCACTGTCAGAAGATGAAGCGGCGCAGTGCAGAAGTTAAAAATATGTTTTGGTGACGATCTCCCACTTTACTGTGTTTGGCATCCTATTTTGAACTTTAGTGTTTTAAATTTGGTTTGGTGGTCAAGGTGGAAACACAGGGTCGTTACAGATACATCGACTTGATGCGGAATGCGGGGGTCACATACGATAGTGTGGGGGCACGCAAGTTAATGCCCCCCATGTTCCTGACACCAGGCTTGATGCTCTACCCGGCAGGGGGGGGAGGGGGGGGGGGGCTAACCTCTGTTATCTACGGATACTGCTACAGCAGCCATCAATATTTTGGCCTTGTCAATATGTTTCACATATACATTCCGTTAATTGCGACATACGGTGGACAGCAATTAGTGACCAGTCACAGGCTGTGCATGGCTTTCAGGGACTACAGTGGACAGCACCAGTAAGCAATCGTTGATCTGTGCAAGACAATGCAGAAGAGTGTACTGGAGCACATAGACAATGGCAGTAAATTTGTAGTCTTGCGTGCTGCTGATATGGACTTAAAGTGCCAAGTCTAACATCAACTTTTACTCGACTGTGCATCAAACAGAATTGTAGAGGGTGTCAACCAGCAGTCGGCACAGTACAAGTTTTGGGTTGGGCGATTGTGCATTTGCACAGTGCCGTTTGTGAACAATTGTTGATGCCTTTGACTGTGCTCTCCAGGGATTTCTGCCTTCATCCTTTGAAGGATGGTTAGAGGTTCCAACAGAGCGATTCAACTATGTTGTCAGTATCCGCACGGGACACACTAGTAGCAGCCCAGTTGAAGGGCTTGCCATCGGTGTTTCCTTCTTGGAGAGGGACATTTGCAGCGGAATCGTGATCGGCGGGTCATGGGTGCTTACTGCTGCACACTGCATAGCAATTGTGGGCACAAGACCCCTGGTGGTCTTCAATTCACAAGCAGAAGGCTCTTCGTGGCTTGGTGGCAACCCGGTATGCTGCATGCACTGCTTTGTACACATTTCAGTTGGTGCCTCACCAAAAACACAGTATGCTGTGTTGAGAATGTTGGATTGACGATGCGATGCTCAGCCTTTTGTGACAAGCCATTTGAACAGCAGAGAATTGCTCTGTAAAGTGTGCTGATGTACCATTTACGAAGCTAACCTAAGGCTTTCCAACCCAAGGCAGCAAGGGCCTTTGCACTTCTATGTGGCCTTGCTTGCACTGTGGCTGACATGGATGGCTGGCAGTTAGTTTTGCTGGGCAAGCTCTAGTCTCTTGTGGCAAAGACAAGGAGTCGATGCGATGGCAGAAGCATGTGGCTGCAAACACCACAGGTGTGCCCTTCAAGGGTGGAGCAATGGAGGCCAGATAGAGCCATGTCCCACACTGACAGTGAACATTGCCCTGCCAGGTTTATGTCACTGTACATGCTGGTAGAGCTAGTTGAAAATAGACGTTCAAAACACCTGATTGAATAGGCGCAGGTGAGCCAAAACAGTCAACCCTGATGTTCGTTCAGCTGTGTGCATTACCACTTGCACCAAACCAGTACCATTTGCAAGTGAGCAACGCAGCCAATAAGTACCACGACTGTCTAGTGAGACACTAGTATTGTTAGTGTATCATAGCACTGGTGATGTCTCAATATACTTTTTGTCAAGGTTGCTTCAGCTATGCTCTGTTACAAATTTGCATGCAACATGTCTATTTATTTGTATCTCCGATTAGTGGGACTGCCTAGTTTCTGTCAGAGCTGCCCTCAATTGTGGCACTCTGTTGCTTTCCTGACTGTGAACTCTGAAATGTGGTTGCACAGCTCAAGGAGGTGGCCCGGCACTGATATTATCCATCCCCTACAGGTCCACAAATGAGGCTCCACTGGGAGGCACTCACACCGACTTGGTTGTGGGCATCATGTCCCATTTCCCCCTGTCGTTTCCTAACATCATTGTACTGCAGCGGATACCGGACATCCACCCATGGATCAAGTCTGTTGTGTACCAACAGGTGCTTTGACGTCATATACTGTTGGGCAGAACTGAAGCGGAAGAAGGTGTCTTGCATTGCGTTGAAAGTGATAATGGAACTGGTTTGTCCGTTTGTCAAGTTTTGTTTCGATATTTCAGTAGAAGAGCTAGCAGATTGGTTTGGACTATTGTCTGCATGAGCTCTTTGGAAAAGAAGCTATGAGCAGCTGTGGAGATTAGGTCATCCACAATGTGCGCCACAGGTTGTGCACAGGGCTTCCTGGGTGGCACAGAAACATTCCACAGAGAAATACAAAGACACATTCATGGCAATGTGGGAGTGCCAGTCACCCAGTTGCTCTACGCCTTGCACTTGTTCAACTCATCATCAATATTCCTGTGTGGGATATGTATCAGTGAATTGCATGCTTCTGAATCTTTGAATCTGTGCATCTGTGAATTGGCGTGTGTATAGTGGACAGTCGTGTTCCTGTCCACCAAATGTTCAGATGTTAGCGACTGCAAATTTTGTCACCCATCACCGGCAGCATGAAACGAAAATGCCGTCATCTCATTAGAATCTTTGAAACTTTCATTCAACAGTTTCACAGACATTTGGCCCCTGTTGTAGATACTTTGCTCAGTCTGCTTTTGCAACCATCAGGGCATGTTCCCATGTGCCATGATCTGGGTTTCAAGTTTATTCATGCCTTCAGAACACATTTGCCAGCGTCTTTGTTGCTCCCCTAACATTTGCTCTTCGGTATGCTTCTGGAAATCAAGATCATGGGGAAGGGTTGGAAGTCAGCAAATCACAGTGCAACTGTTCAGCATGGCGATGTGACATTGGGTCCTTTTGAAGAACTGAAACAACAAAACGACACTCTTCAGGAGACATTCCAAGCAAAGAACTCTGGGGAGAATGTAAGAAAACTCAACCCAGGGGCCGCCTTTGACTGGTCCCCAACGGCACCCAGCCTATGCCTTTTCTCCTGCAGCCCCTCTAGATGCGATGCTGAGAAAGAAAACGAGCAACTTTCAATGGGCGAAGTGCCAAGGAATAAATCCCCTGAAAAGCGACATTGGAGTTCTCAAGTTGACACAGGATTAACGTATTATTGCATAGTGTTGAGAGGATGACAATGTTCATGACAGAACTCGAACCTGATTTGGTGAGATACCATCCCACGGTCAAGCTCTTTGGCTGCTGATTCGCGGACCAGTCTTTCCATGAAGGTCACAGCTGATGGGCTACAAGGAGGTCCCATTACTGTGCGTATGCAAAGGCATTTCTGGCACTGTTCTTGTTTGATGAGGACAAAATGGAAAGAATCCAACACCAAAGTTGGCAAAAGGCAGAAAGATGGAGAAAATGGATGGAGAAACACTAGTCCTGCTACCATTTTTACCAATAGTGATACAACATAGAAGTTTGTCTGAATATTATCTGCTGCCATGCACATTGATCAGACTGTGAAAAGGTTATTGGAACAGTCTCAGTAAACAGTCGACAGCTCTGAATGCATGTCAACTGATTGTGGGCTTCCCTGCCAGTACACTTGCCATTTCTGTTGTCACAATTCTTGACAAAGCATTGGCGAATTCTTTGTACAATCACTGGCATATTACATGCAATATAGTTCTGTGCAACAAATAAAGATCGCAGATGACGGCATCCAAAACACAATGGTGTTCAGTAGCTTAATGCACAGAACGTGTTCCATCAATTTGGTGTTGTTGGTGTGTTTAGGGCAGTAGTCAGGAAAGTGGTCTGGAGGCTGTTGAAATTGATGATCTGGCGAGTATTCCAGAGGTCAAGCTGACCGCCACTGCTGTCACTAGCTTTGTTGGTGGCTACCTGTATAGTAGACAGGTGTGTGTGCTGTGAGGGAAATAGAGACCATGACATATCAATGTTCCATTCCTGCATTGTGGCAGCTGCAATCGGTTCCTGCGGATGGTATCTGCAGTAGACATTGTTTGTCCTTGTCACTCTGTTGTACCTGTCACCTGAATTCGTTTGGGCTGTACCTTTACATGTTCAACCCTTCCCCATGATAGCCTAACATATGTTTTTCAGAGCAACAATACACAATCGTAATGGTGCCAAAGAGACGCAGAGCAGCTGAAAAAATGGCACCTCGAATGGCTTCAAATGGAGCTGAGTTCGCCACAGCCTGCACTCTCCTTGGGTGACCACTCTGCACTCAAAAACCATCTGGAAATCCCCCTTTTCATGGCCAGCACTGCCCCAGGTGGAACACAAAAAATGTGGAGCAAAATGGTAACATTGGAATTTTACAATGCAGAAGGGTTGAATATACAATGGTAGTCAGAATATTGTTGGAAGCTATTGGTTATGCTATGCATGTTGAGGCGCCTTTGCACAGCTTCACAAGGCCGCACAGCATTTGTTCAGGCTCTGCTGGCAGGAGCTATGTGGAATGCAAACAAAAATGGGTGATGCAGTTTCAGCACCATGCAGAAGAATGGACCCTCTAAATAGCATTGCAAACATTGAAATGCAGAAATGCCACATATAGTATAGTAGTCTCAGTGAACGGTCTTCTATCAACTGGTCACCCATGCTTGTCTTCTTCTTGTATTCAGTGGGTGCACAGGTGTCACACACATAATTGGGCCTAAAATGCATGAGGAACAGGCTGTAGTTATGTGGGAAAAAGGATTGAGAATGTGTGTCATGAATGTGAAAGGTAAGTAGACGTGACATAGGGACAGATATTGCATTGTGAACATGGTTCAGGATGATTGATTGCAATATGGCAAAATGCCAACTGAAGGGGACAGTGAAATCTGCAACTCTGTTGGGCAGATGGGTGAGAGGGATCCCTAACATGTTAGAAACATGATGTGTCATGTGCTTGTTGACTTGTGTGTGCCTGTTCATATCATAGACGTTGCAGATTGCATGATCCAGACAAATGGTGGACCATTGCTGGTGTGGCCAAAACTTTGTCTCACTAGTTCAGTCTTTGTGTTTTCTCCAGGACAGCGCTGCCATTGCAGTCATCACTGCCATCATCGCCATTGCATTGGGGATGCTGTTTTGCTGTGGTGTGGTTGGGAGACGCCCTGGAGATGACATTGGTCCGGGGCCGGTATGTGCACTGGGCTGGAAATAGAAGATTGGCAATCATCGCGCTTGTGTATTATGACATGGAGCAATCGATCAGATGCACACATACGGCTCACATGCGCTGCACCTTCACCTGCATCGTACTTCATGAACTGCAGATAGAACCGGCATATTCCACCATTTGATCAAATCAGCAAATTGAGCAAATACGGTACACTGTATCGCTGGAGAAATTGTTCCTTGCTCTCAATGCCTTTTGAAAGATGCATATGCAATGCATCTTCTTTTGTGAAATATCTGTTGTGCACCGGCTCGGCTGTCCATGCAGGGTAGTGCCTGGGATCTGTCTAGAATCCAGTACCACAGGACTGTTACTATCAAGCACTGTAGTGGGTGGTTTGGTGGCTGGAATGGAGAGCCTCCAGCGATGATGTAGCCAAAATCGAAGTGACCTGCACATCTTGAATGCTGTGGATGAATTGTGGATGGGGAAGGGGAAAGTGCAGTCCAGTTTGGTTGTGTTTTCCATAGGAAAGCCTTCCAGGCAGGTAGATGCCACTGGTGCAGTGGCAATTGATGCGCTGACACAGGCTGTTCCCTTTCCAGGTGGACTCCGTACGGGAACTGCTTGCGAGAATCGACGAAGTGGGTGAAATGCTGCCAAACATCAGATACAATGTGAAGATTTTGGCTTTTCTGCATGCCTGCATGACAAAATTAAAAAATGTGCATGAGTTTCCAAAGAATCCAGACAAATGGAATGAGCTGGTGAAGGCCATCCATGATGGCAAGGAGCTTACATTGCGACACACTGGAGAATTCGACCTATGGAACTACTATACAGTTGATGAAACAATGCATTTGGTCAACGAGTATTGCGAATACATTCTGGGGTGGGCATACCAGAGGGGGGTTGCAGCTAACACACAGAAAAGTGTTCCTGAGTGCGATGCACAAGAGGATAGAACGTTTTTGGAGCAGCATCTGGGGTACGTGGTTGGGGTTTTGGGTCCCAACAGTATTGATGACCGATTCCGGGAGGGGTGGGCAACTGCGAGGTTGCAACTTGAGGAACAGCTCCAGTTTGTGCAACGGATCAGCAGGAATAGCGTTGACTGGGAAGGAAAGACGGATATCGCAGCTGGTGGCCAGGGCAAAGTTTACATGAGCAGTTGGAATGGTACAAAAGTGGCTCTGAAGGTGCCAAAAGATGGAGGGAGGACAGGGAGGCGTCATGTCATGTTGACAGAGTTTTGGGCGGAAGCTGCACTCACTACAGCTTCGAAACATGCTCACGTTGTGTGTGTGCTGGCCATGAGCGGCTTTGGAGACAGCAGTGGGGTCGACCCCAAGCCCTTTCTGGTCATGGAACTAGCAACCGAAAACCTGGGTCAATGGTACCAGCAGTGCGACCCTGAGGCCTGGCCACTGAAGTGCAATGTGTTGCTTCAGGCTGCCAAAGGGCTGTGCCATTTGCACAGCAATGGTGTGGTTCATCGTGATGTGAAGCCACAGAACATTCTTGTCTTTTCTGATGGCCAGGATGGTGTTCCAGTCATCAAATTGTGTGACCTTGGCGTGGCTGTAGGTCAGTCAGCGAGCTGGAGAAGGACGACCCTGAAGGATCAGCCGGGAACCACTTTGTACCAAGCCCCTGAATTATTTGACGGCAAGCGCAGCAGCCCTGAGAGCGACGTCTTCAGTTTTGGCGTAGTTATGAATGAGGTCCTGGCAGGAAAAGAGCTTCGTGTTTATGGGTTGACGGCAAAACTGAAAGGCAAACTGCCCCTTGCGATTCCTGATACCTGCCCAGGTGACCTCAAGCGCCTGATCCAGAGGTGCTTGTCGCCCGATCCTAATGCAAGACCGGCGATGATTGAGGTGAAGGAAATCTTAACGAAGTAAAAGTAGAGAATGTGGTTTGGATGCTGCTGTGCCTAGTCACTGTATCAGTATACAGCAGGTTTCACGGAGGAGCGTGTGCACCGACTTGCAATTCTGCCATTGGTGATTCAGGACGTCCCCTAGTAGTTGGAGAGGAGTGGTTGAGTTTCGGAAGTTCAAGTGGCCTTTTGAGGTGTTTGGGGGCAGATGCACATGGAGATGGGGCTGCAGTGTTCACTCCTGATTGTGTTGATGACAAGTGTATTGTTCATTGAGGAAAACTTGAATACCAGGCAAACAGTTACTTTGCATGTTTTGATGCATCCATCTCTTGGACATCAATGCTTGCCAGGTGCCATAGACCTTTAAACGCATCTGGATAATTCAATTGAAAGATCCATACAGCCCAGGATTTGCTCAAACCAGCGTGCCCCTTCAGCGTGCTGCTTCACTGTTCATGCTTGCAGTATCTGTGTGCAATTCGGACTGCAGCCTCTCACATTACTTTGTGACTCACTGAATTTGAAGAACGTCTGGGCCCCTGCCCCAGTTGTGCGGGGTACAGGACGGCATCTGTCAGGTGCTCGACAAGGTAATCGAATGCTTAGCCTTTCTAGTGACTTGTTGCTCAGTACCATGCTTCGAATACCAAAGTAACAAAGCACCATCGCTTCCTCATAATTAAGCAAAGCTAGAATTTCCAATGAGTACAGTCCTTGTTTCTCAAGTTGTGTGTTGTTAGCAATATTGCCAATCAAATTATGGATTAAATTGTGATTTGATCCATGGAACTTTGAGATCGTTTTCAGGTGCCTTTGGCATTTGGCCATCGACCCGAGTTCCTCTGGCCGAACGACATCCTGCTAACCTCATTATACTTGAACAAGGTTATATACCAACCTAAATGAGTGCTGTTCTCGTTTCTAAGGCAGTATGTTGGCGGTAATTTCATCCACAGAACTTTGCTGCCTTGTTCAGCTGCCCTTGTCGCCTGTGCTTTGACCCAACTTGGGCCGAGCCAACCGCATCATTCGAACCTTGCTCCTCACAAAATGTGCTTTTGCTTCAGCCTCAGGGCACAACCGCGGCTGCAACTTGGCCCAACAGACTCTATCCACGCCAAAACTTGTCCCCACATCCTGGTCCAGTTTCTGGCAAAACCCATCACCCCGCCCCGGCCAAGAGGCCCCGGATACCCCGCTCTGCGGCGGACCAACCTCTCGGGGTCGCCGTCGATGAACCCGCGGGACGAGTGGCAAGGGCTCCCGACCCCCCTCAGGCAGCCCGCGTCTACACAGCACTGGACGGGACTGGACTCGACCGGACTGGACTGGACGGATGGTGTGGACGGACTGGACTGAAGGAGCTGACCCACGGCGACCAGTGTCGGAGGGAACTGACCCGTGGAGCAGCCGGAATGGAGCTCACCCTCGAGGGAGCGGCCGCGCATTCTCGAAATTGGTCGACCTCGGCCTCGAAACAGCAAGCCACGATGCGATTTGGCTGCCGGCTGAAGGATGCCGTCAGTGGAGTTGGTGCCAGCATTTAGCGAATCGGCCTTCTTACCCTGATGTCGAAAAGGCGCGGTGTGGGTGATGGCAAGTGACTCCCTCAGTTGAAAGCCAGCGAGGCGCGAGGCGCACTGGCCACTAGATGCGGCCAGCGGCTTTTAATGCCGGCTTTTCCAAGTCGGCCTTCTTGCCCTGATGGCGAAGAGGCCCGGCTGCGGCAAGTCACTCGACCAGACTCCAGGTCCCCAACTGTCAAGCCCCCATCTGCCTCCTTCCACCGATCGACGCCAATCCGGCCTTCGTTTTCCCGCAAACCACACTGAGTCCGCTGATTGTAGGACGCCACATATGCACAGGGTGTTGGCCGAACAGCGCGGCGAGGTCCCAATGCGCGGTGAGGTCTCCACTTGGAGCTCTCCACCGCCGCACTCCGCTGCCGACCGGCCAGTCGCACTCGCGCCGTTCCTCCAAGCAGGAGGAGGCCCATGATGCCTCGGGAGAATGTATTAGTCCCTCTGTCTTCCAAAAAGATCCATTCTTTTTCCGTTGACAAGTCCAACGCGGGCCAGTGGGTCAGTGGTTATTAGGGATTTGGGTGTCCGAAACAAAAAGGGATCTTCGGAAAAGACAGCCTGACTACTTTCATGCCATGCCCCCGTGCCGGCGCCGGTGGCCTGGTGGCGGCCACCTCGCCTGGACATGTAAGAACTCTTGGTGATGATGATGATGAATTCCACAATTACATTGCCTTCACTAAACCCAAGTCCACTCCTAGCGGCATAAACATGATGTCAGCAACCTATGCCACCTTTCGGCGATGTAGGTCAGAAGCAAAATGAGATGTCCATGTAGAGAGAGATTCATGTACAGAGGTGGCTGCTGACCGGGAGCAATGGGGTCATCAGAAGAACTCGTGATGATGATGATGATGATGATGATGATGATGATGATGATGATGATGATGATGATGATGATGATGATGATGATGATGATGATGATGATGATGACAGCATCTTTATCGGTGGGTGCTGTTGCACCGGCGGTGCTATCCAGCAGCGATTCTCATTGGGTGCCGTGCCATCTTGCTAATGTGGCATTTGCTGAACAGCACTGGTGCTGTTACTCCCCTCTGTGCATCTGTAACGTTGAGTAGCACACATCAATAAAGATGCCCTGAGGGACTGAAAACGATCGCAGCGTCTATTGCATGCAGTTTGATGCATGGCATCCAAATCAGACCTTCAGTTCACATATTTGCTTTATTTAGTTACTTAATTTAGCCCTGCAGTCCTGACATGCACTGCTGACCCACATTGTTCCCTGATCATTCCCATTTATCTGAACAATCACAGATGCTAACCAAGTAATGCGTACTCATTTTGTTGTTCTCTTTTGTCCAGGACAGTGCTGTGCAGCAGCTCCTTAAGTCCTACACCATTGTCATTGGCATTATAGTACTGTTGTCTTGCATCTATGGGGGCCAGGTGCGCTCATTGTGCATTGCAGAACTCACAGATCAATTGCATATAACTACCACACTGTTTTGACAGCAGGCCAAAATTAGCATCGCTATTTGTTCTCTGCCCACGTTGAGTTGGCATCGAATCTGTCACTTTGAAGACATCGCTGTGCTGGTTATTTGCTTACACGATCAACAAGTTATGTTGGGAGTACTCCAATATGGTGATCGTGGAAGCACATGCAGAGCATCAATGGTGCCAACTGTGCTGGGGTTCTTGCACACCAGGTGTGTGCCAGGCCTGGCGAATTCCCACAGGATGTCAACAGTCAATCAGTGGATGGAGAAGCAACAGAACTGTTGACTCTCTTTGTCATCTGTATCTGTTCAATGCCATTTTTGCACTGCAGTCACATTCATTGATGCCCTCTCCCTTTGACTAGAGATCAAAAATTGGTTATTTTCCACCCCAGAGCGATGCATTAGTATAGTGTGCCTTGATTTATATTGTTATTAATGTGCTACCCTTTCCAATGGGCACAAAATGATGCCAAGACGGCACACCAGCGCGCCGAACTCGCCTTTGAAAATCACGGTTTATCAATGGTGAACCCTGGCCTCGCTGTGACAGTTGTGTTTTCTACTGCTCAACATGCACCTTTTCATGGATGCACACTTCCGTGTTAGATTTGATGTACAGCCCTTGCATGTGGAGGCATGCGAAAAAAACATAGCACATACGGATATTTCCTGCACAGTAGGAAATCGGAAGACCATGGCCATGTCTGCCATTGAGAAACAAGTGCCTATTCAGTTTGGGCGGTTGAATGCCTTGGAGCCCTGCAGATCAGGATCGATGAATTTTGTTCTTGTGCGCAATGGCAAACTGAGCGGCAGCACATTACTGTTGGGGCTATCACAGCCATCTGCTATAACCGCATGTGCTGACTTCCAGCACAGAGTTGCCAGCCTATGTCCCATGAGTGGCAATGACAAGCAGCAAATGATCTTCACCTACAGCATTCTCTCAAACACCCTCCAACACTTGTAGTATTGGTTGGACGCCTTGTGGAAAATGGGTCACGCTGTGTCAGCATTATCAGTGGGTTAGTCTCGAGCTACCCATTGGTCGGCTTTGTTACTGTTGTTGTTGCTCTTCAACGCTGTTGCTGATGCTGTGGATGTCTTGGTAGGCCATGTGGCGACGTGCGCATCGGGCAGTTGCTGGCAATGATCAGGTAAACTTTTGGAGTGCAACTCAATCCACGGTGATGCAATCTTGTCAAGGAAAGTATCAGCCACGAATGGTCACATGACCATTTCCCATTGTTGGCTTGTGCTGTCAAGGTATTTGAATAGTTTAATGGTCGAATTTCAAACCTATGCAGGGAGTGGCTCCAAGGGAAAGAAAGAAGGGAAGAAGAAAGAAGAAAGAAGGGAAAGAAGAAAGAATTTCTTCAGAAGAAAGAAGGGAAATGATGGAATCAAATCCAGAGTGTGGAAGTGGCCAGCAGCTGGAGCAAAAGGCAGCTATTCTTGTGGGGCTGGAGCAACAATCGTCAGGGGGGAGCGACTTGTGGGAATCTGTGGCTGCCGTCCCAATGGAGAAAGACAGTGACGAGAGGTACATCAGCTTTGATGAAGTGCAGCAGCAACTAATGGGGCTCCGATACAACTCAAACATCATGCGCTTTCTGCAGGAGCAGATGGAAAAAGCCCAAGGTCTAGCCGCCTTGGAGAGTTTGTCAGAGGGAGCAACACAGCTGCTGGATGCTGCGCTGAAGCAAGGGCATCGGCTCATCGAAAAGCACACGCAGGTGTTTGACGTTAAACGCTTCTACAAGATCGAAGATGCCATGGAAGCTGTACGAATGGTATGTGGGAACATACATGCTGCACTTGTGGAGCAGAAGTCTCAGATCGCATTTAAAGCACAGCAACAGTGTGTTGACAAGGATAGACAGCATTTGTATGCACACCTTGGCTATGTCCTCAGGTGTAGGCAGTGCGATTTTGCTGGTGAAGACAGCTTTCAACAGGAGTGGGAGTCACTCAGGTGGCGGCATGAGGTTCGCATGAGAGGCCTCAACGTGATTGTTGACAGCGATCTCATTGTGGGGAGGAGGAGGGGTGCTGGAGGCTACAGCCAGGTGTACGAAGGCCAGCGGAGGCGCGTGAGTGTTGCTGTGGAGAAAATGACAGCAACTGACAATGTGACTCCATCGCCCTTGGAAGAATTTGCAGAAGTTTTCAAGGAGTCGTCATTGCTTGCATCATTAAACCATCCTCAGATTGTCCGATATTACGGCATGACCAAAACTGGGTGGATGGTGATGGAGCTGGCGGACGGTGACTTGAGCACTCTGTGGGCTAATGTGACCATGACTTGGCTCCTGATACTAGAGGTTCTGGAGCAGGCAGAATCTGCTTTGGAGTTCGTGCATCACAGGCACGACCCCCTGGTTCATGGTGACATCAAGGACAAAAACTTTTTGTACAAGAGGTTGGGCCCAGGAAAATATGAAGTCAAACTTGCTGACTTTGGTCTCACAACAGAGGTGTGCAACTGGCAGACAAACACTAATCGGAAGGCCACAGCGACCCCCTTATGGAAAGCACCAGAGCTTTACGAAGATGAGAACCCCTCCCTGGAGTCCGATGTTTTCAGCTTCGGCCTCATCATGTATGCCCTCGTGACACGACTTGTGCCCTACGGCTTTGGGACGAGCGAACTTGCAGTGATGAGGAAAAAGCTCAGAGGTGAGCCGCCCTGCTTTGTCGGACGGGGCGACTGCCCTGAAGATATGCGTGACCTGATGGAGCGATGTGTTGCAGTGGACCCTGGGGACAGGCCGACCATGAGTGTGGTCGCTGAATGCGTTTCACAGATGCCGAGAGACTGGCAGCCAGGCCAGTAGTGTCTGTGTTGCAGTGTGCTGTGGAGCTTACATTGATATTGCATTCTTTCCAATGTGTTACATGGGTTAATAGTGGGTACTTGCATGTACTGTAGTCCAGTGCACAGTAGATGATATTACTAATGGTGTATGCGTGGACTGTACTTTGGAGAATTTGTGCAGTCAGTGCAAAATTCGTGTGGCCGTTTGCAAGGTGGGGTCTACAAAGTGGGAGAATTGGGCGCTGAAGTGCAATGAATGTCAGTATTAGCAGTGATAGTGAACGCAATGTTGATTGTACATTTGTGTAGAAATACTGCTTGTGCTGACAGATTTGTATGTACAAAGTGGCACTTGGCTCAGACTTCCATCCTGGATGCTGGACACGCCTTATGGCACAATATTCTGTCCCGGCCCATTGTCCAGAGTGCCTTTCTGGGGGCATGCTTCATGCACTGAGTGCTTTGCGTTCTTCACTGATTGGAAGATAGGGGATAGGCATGAATGTGCAATCCGTATTCCTGCCACCTGGTGGCTCTGCTGGTCCACTGTGCTGTCTGTGGGGTGTTGCGAAAAGCAATTTTGCAAGGCTCCTTTTCGCCAAAAAATTTTGCGAACGGTTTTGGTGATGTCGTCACAGATATGCGAAATTCCTGCAGAGCCCTAGGTTCTCTATGGGTTCTCTATGTGTCCATTTGCATCGCAAGGGTGGCTTGTTCTGTTGATGCCAATTGCTATTCACAGCTTGTGAAGAATTTTCTCCCAAGGGTTGTGTAGGGGGGCACCCATAGCCCTGTCAGGAACAGGTGACGAGAAGCATCACTGAATGGTGCAGTGGAAACGTGGGACGGAAAGCCAGAGAAATGGCATTCACAGGGGGGTGGGGGAGTGGGGGAGCCAAGCCTAGGCCCGAGGTGACAGAATGTGGGCGCAATCTCCACAATGCCTCTTGCAAGGAACTCGACGTTGGAAACCGAAGTCCGATAGGTAGTTCACGGTGGTCCACCATGAAGCTCCACAGGCTGTGCACAAAAGCCTGTTCCACTGAAAACTGACGCCACAAATTACCGCTCGAAATGGGTATTGAATTAAAACACGTTCGGATCGAAAATGTGCTCACACAGTTGAACCCTGGACATCGTGCGCTCAAATGTTGTTGAGATCGCCCATTTATTTCTCCCCGTATGTACTGTGTACTGTACATTCTCTCAGTACTGAGCAGTCTGTGGAGCACTGTCTCTGTCCAACGCTGACAATTGTGGCTTGACGTAATACTTTGATCCTCGAATATGAGCGCTGCCTGGGCCAGCTTGGCCACGCTGGTTGGCAGACTGTTTGAGGTCTTTGACAAGATTACAGAATGCTCTCGCATGTTCTGTTGGTTAAACAAAGTCTAATCAAAGATTAGATTACAGAAACGATGCTGCTTTGGTGTTCAAGTGACTGCACAGGAAACAATAGATGTGTGATAACCAACACTGCTTTTCAGACACCCGTGGCATACATCGACCCCGAGTCCAGAATACCATTCTTTGCTCTAGTTCCGATACTTAACCCGCATAGCAACATGCCCGCCTCGCTCCGGCCAGCTGCTACAATAGCGCTTCACTGGCAGCCGCTCACAACTGGCCAAACCGCCCGCCCTTTTGTTCAACATCCAGTACTTGCCCCCTGTTTGCCAAAGTTGTCTACCAGTCGCCATTGGGGTCGCCAGATGATGGCTGACGCCAACTCTAAACTGTTTCAAAACACTGAACCATTCACAACACCATCAAATTTTACACTGAAAATATAATTAAAAAAGCAGAAAAATAGTACCAAATCAGCCAAAACAATAAATATATACTCAAAACCACACGCACAACACATTGCCAATTTTGGGCACCTCGCCCACGACACCAACGCCCTGGGACGGCCTGGTCCGTGGAGGGCCAATTTGTGGGCTCCCTGACAGAGAGGCTGCGCGATCAGGACCAAGGGTCCGCAGCTCCCCGCTCCCCCCTTGAACGGCCCACGCTCTGGACAGAAGGAACTGACCCACAGTGTGAAACTGACCCGTGGAGCACCTGAACTAAGTTCACCCCACGCGTTGCGCAGATGGAGAGGACAGCAGTTTCCTTAAGAGAGAGGGAGAGAAAGTCTGAGGCTTGCTTACAAGGGTAGCAGGTGGGAGAGATGGCTTCCTTTAGTTAGAGGCACACAGAGAGAGGAAGTCCGAACCTTCCTTATCAAAACTGAGCAGATGGGAGAGAGTGGTTTCCTTAGAGGCAGATGAAGATGGAGCCTGAGGCTTCCTCGAAAAGAGGGCAGTTGAGAGAGCGCCTTCCTCAAAATCGCGGCAGATTGAGAGATAGAGAAGCTTGCTTAAAAACGGGACAGATGCAGATAGGTTTCTTGAAAACCGGGACAGGGGGGGGCAGGTGGAGAAACTGACCCACTGCGCGGGCTGGAGTAATGAGGGAACGATTACGCATCCTGGAAACGCTTGACCTCGACAGGGCGAGTTCTCGGGCGATGCGCCACGTACGGCGCTGGGCACGTGTTGCAGGAGATGCGGGCCCTGGCATTTGGTGTGCAACGTTCCGAGATCGGCCTTGAAGGCAAGATAGACAGGCAGGGAAGGCAGAAGTCCTGCCGCCCGTGGCCAACGCTTGGACAGCGCCCACCCCAGGAATTGCCGGACTCCCTCCCCCTCCCCCACCCCGCACACCCGCTGATCTCGCAGGCGCTCGTTCCGCGTGCAGGTCGGGAGAGACAGGCGCGCTGAATGACCGCCACCATAGAGCCTCGTGCCACAGGCGCCCAGCTGGAGGCGCACACGGTTTGCCTTTGAACATGCCACAGGGGGAGGAAAGACTCGCCCACCCCGCCCAAACCTCTACCCACCGCACACCCTCTGACTGCACTTGACTTCCCGCACATTCTCCATCTTGTCAACGGGGCCCCCGACTCCATGTTTTCTTGCTTCTTGTGTTGCTTGCGTTGGGTGCTCATCATTTCGCATCGCAGACTCTGCATCATCTCTTCACAGCGCGTAAGAGAATATCGCTCACACTTGCTTAGGATGGGATACCCTTTGTGTGACCTTTTTCATTCTCCCTTTGCAACAAATCTTACCCTCTGACCTCGCGATCCTCACCTCCCGGTATCCACGCAACCGTCGTGGCAGGCATTCCAGTTTCTCCGTTCATTGCGCCCATCCTCAATCCAACAACTCCGTCCCACTCACCTACAAGATGATGTGGGGAATTCGCCCAATCTTGAATCAACGTCGCCCGTTGGACTCAGGCCGAACGCTCAATTGCCGGGCGGCGATCACCAATTGAAGAACCCAACAATGCGCAGAGGCGCTCCGATGCGGAAAAGAACGTCAGCGTGTCGTCGTCGGCGCCTTCTGCCGTCGTGTACGGCCGTCGTCCGGGAGATGGTCGCCCTGAGTCGACGAGGGTGGCGCTGCCCTTCGGGAGGTTGGCCGTGCCGCAGGGCGGGAAATTTGAGGAGTGCGAATCTGGCATGCCGACGCACACAAGACGAAAACGACCACTGGGTTAGTTGCATATTGCATGTGAATCAGAACTGAACTGACTTAGTTTGTTTTTAAAAGCAAATACGTAAATTAAAATAAGTAAAATAAATATGCAAAAATTTGCAATATTAAAGTAAGTGGTTTAGTTACAGTAAGTATTAATTGTTTGCTTGATTTAGCCCTGCAGTCCTTGTGCCGAAATCGCTATCTGTTAGCCTTGATATCCGAACCCAAACCACTGAAAAGACTGCAGGGTCAGCGAAGAGGCGCTGCAGTGCCAGCGTACTGCCCCGTCTGACGATTGCTGAAGTGCCAATGGGCGGGTTTTGACCACAAACAAGGGCGCATAGCTGTGGCACACGTTCATTGCGATTCAAAAGTGGCAGCTGTAGCTGTGGGACTCTGGCAGTAGCTCATATTATTATAGGGGCCACACTCAAGCACGGATTGCCCCAAAGGACGTGCTTGCAAGCGAAGCCACTTATTTCAACCCAAGGGCGTTGTAATATGTCCGTCAACCTGTTCCTCCAACGTGCAGTGGCACCATCGAACCAGGCTTGGCTTTTACGTTTACCTTTTTACTTTCACGTTTTTACGCTTAAAAACGCAAATTTGCAAAAGGTCCTATTTTTCCGGCTATTTTTATGTTTTTACGGCTCCCTAGGACAACCAGATTATACGATGAAAGTTGTGTACAGTGATCAGTCATCCGCCAACTCCAGCACCCACAACACAATGTCCACCTCGGCCTTGGCAAGGGCGATGATGGCGCTGAACAAAAACTCCTTCTCTGGCCCTTCCAGGGCGCCTAGCTGCCACTCTCCGGAGTCGGTAGGTCTGCATGTACTGTCCTTATGTACACCGGACAGTTTTTACGTTGTATTTACATATTTTTACGCATTTTTACGCGTAAAAACGTAAATACTATTTTTACGCGTAAAAACGTAAATACCATCAGTTTTTACGGCGTAAAAACCAAGCCTGCATCGAACCAACACCACGACCGCACCCGGGATGGTCCAACGAGATGGTGCCTGGACCGTGGAAAGTCCCTCGGCACCCCAAGCGATTCTGGCTCGGTGCAGCGAGTTGACGCCACAACCCACCCATAAATCGGGTCAACCCATGCTCATTAATGATACTCTAGTGACTTCATGCGTGCATTCGTATTCCTGTTGACTCCGTCCGTGCGGCACTTTCCAGGTCATTTTCCACTGACCTGCAAGGCAACTCCGACATCTCGCTTTCACAACCGCCCGGGGGCGCCGCCGCTCTTGGGCTTCCCGCGCCTTTGTGGACACAGAGGCGCCCGACATCTGCCAAGGTGGGGCCTTTGGCCACGGTCTGTGCCTTGGGGTCCTGTCCCCTCCGTGCGCGGTCAGCCACGACAGTTGGACCGAGCCAGAGAAGCCGACACCACCTTCGGACGGGTGCCCGAGAGCTGTGCTTTTTCGATACAGTGCTGGACCGGCCTGTCGTGCTGCCTGTGAGTAAG